GTTCTGTATGAAAGATAGATAGAGTTTGTTTTAACAGTGAAGCGTGGGACATCTGTACTCTTTTCATAGTTTTCTCTGTTTCTTGTGAGAGCCACTCCAGTCTCGTGGTTAAACTAAGGCAGTAAAAATAGCCTCTGATTATCTACTGTTTTCCTCTCACTGGGCTGAGATTAGAAAGACGTTTACATTCTTTTAGCCCATTAAACTCATGGGACATTACTCCTGAATCATGAGAGACAGATTTTTCTCCCAACATGGTTGTGTTGCTGGTGAAGAAGTTTGAGGTTTTCTCAGGGTCTGAGACAGAAGGAGGGCAGATGAGTCCAAGGGAGAACATTTCAGTTTTGCTGAAATACAGTATAATTTAAGGAAACAATTCTTTGCCTAATGAAGACATAACACTTCTATATTCGTCGCGTGTTAATTAGACCGATAACAGGACTTTTTTTATTCAGAGAGGAACATGGTGGCTAAAATGATGCTTGCTTCGAGTTCTCTCTTGAGTCATAGCTGGTTTCAAGGTCACTTTTCTGAGGACAGTGACAGATATCAAAAGCATAACAAGGCTTAAGTTAAACCTCTTGCATTTCACTTCTGCACAGACAAGCATGCAAACAGGTGGGGACAGAATGCTCTCACTGTGCTCACGGAATAAAACATTGGCAGTAATCACTGAAGAATGTTGTGGAACCTGGTGCATTTGGGTCACATTTTCTTTTGTGGTACAAACCGTCAGACGTTTGAAGTGGAGCTAACCTCTGAGTATATGCAGTTAATACAGCAATCACACGAGACCAATTCAAGAAGCAGCTTAAAGGTGCAGTGTGTAAGATTTAGGGGGAACTATTAGCAGAAATGGAATATAGTATACAAAACCGTGTTTTCATTAGTGTATAATTACCTGTAACTATGAATCATTGTGTTTCTGTTACCTTAGAATGAGCTCTTCATGTCTACATAGGGAGCAGGTGCTTTTCCAACAGTGGCTGCCATGTTGTGCCGCCATGTTTCTACAGTTTCTGCATGTTTCTGCGGACAAACCAAGAACTGGCTCCAGAGAGTGCCTTTAGCTTTTTTACTTGAATTTGATGGGGCTAAAGCACTGGTTGGAAGTTGTAGAAAGAAGAACCACTGGTTGCTGCTGGTGCTGGCTAACCAGTTTGTGTTGTGAGAAATTTGAGAACCCAAATTTTGACAAATGGAGGATCTTCCTTATTATATAGCACAAAAAAAGCAAAGGAGGATGAATCTTCGTGTTCTATGAAGCAAAAACATGACGGCCATTGTAGGTTCCCCTACGCAGTTGTGGGGGGCGTGGGTGGGCAGGAGGGGTATTCACTCACCACTAGATGTCACTAAATCTAACATACTGGACCTTTAAGCCTACATTAGATCTTCAGCAGACATAGCTGATAGCTGATCCTATACCAGATCCAATCTTGTAACAAATCTAGCCTGAAATAGCACCATCACATTGTGTGATGTGATGTGATGTGATGTTGTTAGCTGTGTATTGTTTCCTGTGGGTAGAGTGTTCAAATAGTAGTATGATAGCGTACTTTTAGATGTCCACCTTAAGTGTCTCAATTAAAAAAGTTCATTTTAAAGCTTAGAAGTTTTTAATAAAAGAAAAATAGAAATCGGATCAGGGTCAGCTGATACTCCATGTTTCCACATCCGTATCACAGTCAGAAAAGTAAAAGTGGCATTGTGCCGTCTGTAATCTTCAGTGATCTATTTGTGTAACGTGGTTTACAACTGTGTGTACTTTGTGAGTTGACAGCAGGCCAAGTGCATCAGACTTCAGGTGATGAGTTCAAAGTTTGAAGACAAAGTTTGTCAGCAAGTCTGGATTCTCAGATATATCAGTAATATGAACTTGGGAACTTTTGTGTTCATCATGAACCTCAGATGCGCATTGTGCCCTTAATAGGTCAGTGAAGTGTTCTTTTTTCCCTGTACTTTACAAGTAGGGAGTGGAGGCTACGATGAAGATGAATTGATCTCAGGCAATGAAGCAAGTATGCCTGTTATTTTCCACTTCAGACACACTGATTTTCTCCTTCTACTTCTAATACTTTCACAAATCCACCAATCCATACACATCATCCATTCCTCATTTTCTCAAATGTGCAGTACTGTGCAAAAGTCAGAGACCTTTCCTTCCACCCAGCATTTATTTATTTTTATTTTTATTTTATGTTGGTGGTTATTTACTAACAAAACTGCCACCATCAGATAAAGTACTTAAAGCAAGAAATCCACAGCTCTTTTTGTCCATCTTCTGCTGTAAAAGAAAACTGTGCTATGAAAGGATGTATAGCTGTCAAGAAGCTATTACTGATAAAAGGAAATGGACAAAAAAAAAGAAGAAGAAAATTTGTGCATCAAAAAATGTTGGTGTTCTCAGAACAATGTACTGACCACCAAAGAGGCCAGATCTCAACATCACTGAATGTGTTTGGGATTACTTGTAACTTGAGAAGCAGAAAACGCAACCAACTTCTAAGACTGAATTTTGGAGGTGTCTTTAGGGATGTCTGCCAAAAGGAATGGAAATTGCAATAAAGGGTGGAAACAATACTGAACGAGTTGATATTATATTTGGTTGTTGATGCTTCTGTGGTAAATATGGTTTCTGCTTTTTTCCTGATACTTAGAACTTAATAACTTGTACATAACTGCTGATTTCACTGGAAATTAAATAAATAAAGTACTCTTTTGTCCTGCTGAGTTTATTGAAACTTTAAGACCTTTTGCTCTCTATGTCTTTCAGATCCTGGTAGTAGCCCTGGAGAACGCCGCAGTCAGAAACTAAGTCGGGGATGCAGAGGCAGTGATAAGAGCTCTAGTAGAGTAAATGGAAGAGGCTCGGGCCGCCGCATTCCTCAGCATCTCAAACCACAAGGTAAAAACCCACTAACAAACATAGATGTAGTTTTGTGACCGCTATAGTACAAGCCACAACTTGCGCTCATATACTTTAAATGGAAAATTCCAATCATCAACTGAGCCATGAACATTATAACCACTAGCTGTTTGCTTCATATACAGAGAAATAAGCACTTTACAAAATCAAATTATTTATATGCCAATAATTGGAAGACACTGCACTATATCTAACACTATAAATACAAGACCTGGCACTGGGAATATATACTCATGGCACTTAGGATAAACCTGTACTCATGGCATTAAGTATCTAAACCTTAATTTCTAATCTACATATAGAATTTTGTTCAGAAGTCTATAACCAGTTCTTTGGTTGACGAGGCATGAAATTCGGATGTATTGTGTGATTTCAGCAGGTAAAGAAACTAATGTGTCATGAAAACCAGTTGCTTAGTTATTGATTATGCCTAAAGTCAAAAAATAGTGTTATTGCTTTAGATGCGCCAGTATTTGATGACCCTTAAATGTAAGTCAGCTAGACTGTATTTGTATTTATTGAACTTGAAAGTAGATTGACTTGAGAATATTTGTATTCGATGAGCTTGAATGCCAACTGGCTCGACAACCCATTATTTGGTGCTTAACATTATCATAAAGGTCCTTAAGGAGTGAATGAGGCCAGGGGGATTAAAGGTAGTTATTTAGCATTGCCATTGTGGCTTGATTGCTGTAGAGCACTGTGTGTTGTACTCACCAGTGTGAGTGAGTGTCAAGGCTCAAGGCCTCATGTTCAGTAAAACTACTGAACATGAAATACTATGAAATACTGAGTTTCAAGTGAATGCATGTTAAAAGTGAATGTACATTAAAGCTGGATTGACTCCTGCTCTGGGCAACTGAATGGAACAGTAATTGTAGAAATGTGTTCAGTATCTGATTGACATTTAAAGAGATTGTATGTGATGCACCCATAGCAGGTGGAAAATGACTGCTTAGACTGTGAATGCTCTCACTCACCCCTCACTGTGCTGCTGTAAGGCATTACTGCCACCTTATGCTGGTTTGCAAGCACTGCAGTTGAAAAACAGAACTTTTCAGTGAATTAATCTCGGTCTATGTTTTGCTTCCTCTTAACTTCCTCTTGTTCACAGTGGTTTGATGTGAAACGCTCCTTTCTAGAGAAACCTACCGAGTTGTTCACAGTGGTGGTGATAGGAACCAGACGTCCGAAGTGTATAATGCCTCTAAAAGCTACCTCACAGAAAGCTATTATATGAAATGGTCACAAATAGGCTGCCTGATGCCCAAGACATTGTTTTACCTTAAATTTATGAAATGGTTTTGGCCTAAAACACATTTTTTTCAGTCTATTCATAGCAGAGAAATACATGCTGAGCGTTGTATGGCAGAGTAATACCCAAAGAAAACTCATTTTTCAAATTTACCAGTATTTTAGCATTATCAATGTCACATAGAAAACTCAAAAGATACATGAAGGGTCGCTGGTTGTTTTGGACACTGGTGTAAATGGACTGTGATATGGATGATATTCATATGTTGTCTATATTTCTATAGGGCTGCACAATATGGACAAAAAAATGTATTGTGATCATAGGGCTGCACACTGTGATTGCGATGTACCTTGAAATATATTAAAAGTACACTGAGAAAGGTGACATTGGTAAAGATCAAAGATTTTTGGCATTACATGAATTCCTTGATTCATCAAAATACCCACAGAAACACTAATCTAGAACTTAAAAAATGGTAGAGGGCTTATTTACACAATTCAGACTTCCAAGATATTAGTATTGCAAAGGCCAATGTTGTTTTCTTCGCCTGACTTGCAGTGCCTCCAAAACCAGTGCACCTCCAGAGTCCGGTGACAGAGCTCTGCAAGCCACTGGGCAGAGCCCCACCCTTCAGCTCCAGGATGGAGGAGGGAGAAGGAGGGGGAGGAGGGAAGGGCCGGGTGTCAGACCTCATCAGCCGCTTTGAGGAGAACAGGTATGCATGCGCGACCTGTTTTCTTAAGATATAATTAGGATTATGCATCAAGTTCTTATGGCATTTCTGTCATCTGCTTGATGTTTGCTCATGGCTACATATGGTCCACGTTTAAATCTTTCATTCACACACACCATATGCTTGTATTTTTTGCAGCATTCAACATGTTGACTCTTCCTAAAGGCACGTTCCAACCCAAAACTAGTTAATTGTTATGTTATGCAATATGCTGTAGGGCAGCCTTGCATCACTCAGCCTCTTTGGTTTGACAGAGTTCTAAAATTTATGGGTTTTTTTTTGTGTTCTCATTAATTTCATGGTGAGATGTTCTCTCACTATAATACCTAGCATTTATGTAATTCAGCAATGTAGAAATAGCGATGTGGAAATCCTGACTGCCAACCTACCCATGATGTAGAGGCTAATACAGGTTCTGAGGAGTAATGTTAGCTATCTGGCTCTTTCAGCCTGTGTGCACTTGTAGTTCCTGCTACCTTTGAGATGCATCATCAGATGTTTTTTTCTAGTCTTTAAACCAGAAAATCTTGCTACAGAGACTACTGTGGCATCGCTGTAGGATGTGTTTCCCCTTAATCATCAAAAGAATAGCAATTCAAAATGTTTTTAATACATATCTGCATAGTTTCTTGTCAGTTTGAAATAATTTAACACATTAAAGACAAACCAGGTTTAATTTGAGAATAAGAGTATGACACATGAATATTTGTGACAGGAGTAGCTTGGGATTAATTACCAAACCCCCTTGTTGATACCATTACACAAACCTCTAGGTCTTTAAACCATCTTTGAGCCACATTTTTTATATTGTTTTGTAACCAAAGTTACAGAACATGATGAATAGAAGTTAAAAATATGCCTAAAGTGTTAATAAATAATTGTGTTCTCATGTATATTGTCTTAATCTATTGAAATCTAACAGTGAGAAAAACAGTGAGAAGGCAAGAAGGTAGTGTAAAGGTCTTTATTATATGAAAGATGGTTTGGCCATCACCATTTTAGTCTGTGTCATGAATAGCATTCTGTGGTTATCTGTGACACCTGAGAGTGGTTTGACTGCAGTCAGTTTATAGTCCGGCTCTGGTCACTGCATTCAATATAAGTCATTTCCACTCTAATTTAGATGTTAGCAGAGGTGGAGGGGGTTACATAAGTTGCTTTTATCATCCTTCCGCGCTTACACTGATCGCCATTTTCCATTCACTCACAAGCACATTTTTGAAAGGTCAAGATCACTAGCTCGTCAATGTCACCTTTTTGCAAGAGCTCCCAAATGTTGAAGTTAAATGGTGTAATGAAGTAGAGTAAGGAAAAAAACATTAGCTTCTATTTCGTGATTATACAGGAAGAGTTTATCAAGAAAGAGAAGTTGGGTGACTCCCACTTGCAACCAGATGTTTCTCAAGAGAAAGGTTGAGAAGGCAAGAGGTTTCAAATGGGCAGAACAGCTACAGTGTTTGTAGAAGATGAGCTTGAAACACAGTATTAAGCTTTAGATGATGAAACCTAAACACAGGTAGGACTGTATTACAGCTTTATGTTTTATGTTCTGCCTCACTCTCTCTGACAGTCTAGTCGAGGTTTTTCTGCACGCTGCTGGTGGAATTTCAGCTAGGAGGGTGATTTACAGTCGAGGCCTTTTCGAGATGCTATTTTCTTCATCCTGCATTCTTTCTGTGTTCCCTGAGCTTCATTTCACCTCCTCTGTTAAGAAATTTCTTTCTTGTTGCAAGCTAGTTGTTTTCGTCACACTGTCAGCTCTTGTGACAAAGCTGTTGTAGGTACACAGAGTTTAAATGTAGTTTTTAGGTCAGAGGCAGATTATTAATGCTTAACTTATGGGTAATGCTATGTTTAATAGCCCGGCCGGCCTTTGTTTACATGTATACAAGCTTTAAACTTAAGTGTATGCTGCATAGTTATTAGGAAAGTTGTTAAAGAAGTCTTATCATAACGCAGTGTGTATATCTTTGGCACAATCAGAAAAGACTAACTGCACTAGAATGCTAATAATGTGGTTGAAAGCTGCAACGCTGATTCAGAGCTACTTACTTTCTGTTCCCATTTTTACATTTTCATCTTAAATTATTATTTTGTTGTGGTAACCTTCCAAACAGAGTATTTTCTTGACTTCATGCGGTCAGGGCTGATTTAGCATGGTCTTTTGGAATCATCTGCAAGTCTCAAAAAGCTATAGGACCTGATATCTACTCTATAAATACACACACACATGCGCACATCCTGTTTGTCTTGCAGGTCTGATGACTTTAGTTTGTGTAGGAGTCAAGCTCTTTATTGTGTCACTAGCCTCAAGAGTTCCTGTGGAGGGCTTTGAGACAGACGCTGAAAGCATGCCGTACAGGGCTAGCAGTGGAGAATGGTTAGTTTCTAGGGTGTACTTAAGAATGTAGCTTAAAAGTGTTTAAGAGCTGTGACCAAAACTGAGAACAGAATCATTTGGGTGGGGGAAGATTCGAGCATCAACAAAGTGGACACTAGAAATGTAGAGGATTTCCATTTAAAGCATATGTTATCATATGTACAGTCCAAAATCTGGACATTACTGCTTGTTATGACTCTCATACTTTTTGAGAGTCTCATAGTTTTTGAGTGTTGTGGAATATTAGTCACAAATAAAAGGAGTGATTCATGCTGTTTCGCTAAGGAGATGAGTCAGGTGAGGGTTCTTTCATCATAAAGGGCAGTACCTATAAATGTAACGTCTGTAGGAAGTCTGTAGAGTGCTGCTGTACTGTACTGCACTGTACCACCCCCTGGTCCAGCAGCCCACCCTGTACTGAGTGTGTTCTACAGGAAAGGACTGTCTCATGTGTGGTGCAGGTGGGCCACAGACTGGGAAGCAGCTGCAGGATGTGTGTATGTGTGTATGTGCAGGAGTTTTCATACATTTTCAGGACAAAAAGAAACAAAGAAAAACAGGGGTAGCTTACAATGCCAGGGTTGACTAAATGATCCTGGCTTTGTCAAAAGGTATATGTTCTTACAAAAGAAAGATGTTTATTTTTTTTTACGGAAAAGAGGAAACAAATTTGTTACTGAGGTTAAGATTGGATTTAGAAAATTGTAATCACATATGTGTACTACATGTACACTTACCAACCACTTACTATAAAGGTACTCTTGTAGGTCTATGATTACAGGGTGTAGTCCATCTGTTTCTCTGAATAATTTGTTAGCCTCTTTTCACCCTGTTCCTCAATGGTCAGGACAACAACTGACCAAGCATTATTCGGGTGGTGGATGATTCTAAGCACGGCAGTGACACTGACATGGTAGGTCAGTTTATGAGTGTTGCGCTGGTACAAGAGAATCAGACACAGCACTGTTGCTGGAGACACTGTCCACTCTGTTACACATGCCTACCTTGTTGGTCCACCTTGTAGATGTAAGAGTGGGCTAAAATGGACAGGATCCCAAGAGACTGCTGTAATCCTTACAGGGTGACAAGATTGCCACTGTCATTAAAGGGCCCATATGCAGCATTTTCCTGTATTTCATTTTATTCACGAAGTTCCATTTATGGCATTGGTGTGATTTTATGTGACAAAAACAGTCTTAATTCATTTTTACATGACCATTTCTCACTGTCTGTTTATACCTTAGCATTATTGAGGCTGTTTTTGTTACTGTGCCTTAAAGACTGGTATATGTAAAGAAGATCTGTTCTGATTGCCCTGTATTGTGCCTTATTCAAAAAGCAGTCCGGGCTGAAATACTCCTTATAACTTCAGCATGAGTGGGCAGAGCTAAACTGTCATGAGCTGAATAAATGGATATATGTAAATGTGGTGGTTTTGACATCACAAAAACAGTACATTCAAAATGGGATATTTTTCAGCCTCCATATTTGGACTGTGTAATTTTTAAAATACACCATTCACTCCACACATCCACACATTGGAAAATAAATGGTGTGTATTAAAAAATTAAACAGCGTTAACATATAACATCAACATCAAATATTAAAAAAAAGTGAAGAAAATTAGATTTTCTGTGATATGTGCCCTTTAAGGCAATTGGATTAGTATTAGAGAAGTATTAGAGAAGAAATAATGCATCATTATAATAAGAAATCATACTTTTTTTGTCCATAGAGTTCACCAAAATGTGCTGGACATTGCAGATTTAAGCTCTTTGGCAAAACATAGTGTTAAATTTTTAAAGCAAACTTCTGCTTTTTCAGTCTTTCTAGGGGCCACTTTTGTGCATCAGACAGTAAATGAGAGAGATGCCTTAGTGTGTGTGTGTGTGTGTGTGTGTGTGTGTGTGTGTGTGTGTGTGTCTGTGTGTGTAGCGTGAAGTAGGCCAGCAGGGTGTCTCTGGGGACACGGTGCAGCCGTGCCTCTCCTACCTCTCCTCTCTTCCTCTCTGCGTTCCTCCCATCCTCCTCCTCCCCTCTTTTCCTCTAGCCCCCCCCGACCTGAATGCTCCCACGTCCTCCGTTAACACACTCACACACGCATGCGCAGTAGCACACAGTCAGATATAAGCTGTGCTGCCCCACATGACAGAGGAAGTTTGTGCTTCTACAGTGGTGTATTTTTAACCCCGACACACTCACGTTTTCTCACATGCTCTCGCTAGCGCTCTCTCTCTCTTTCTCTCTCTCTCTCTCTCTCTCTCTCGCTAGCTTTTTCATTCTCCAGGCAGTTAGCAGGACAGGAGCAGCTGAAATTGACCTATCTCTTGTCTGATCTGCCTTTCTCTCTCTCTTCTCTTTCTGTCTGTTATGCTCTGTCCCTCATTTCTCTCTCTCTCTTCTCTCCTCTTTCTGTCCATCTCTTGCTCTCTTTCTCTTTCTGTCTATTTCTCTCTCCTCTTTCTGTCTCTTCTCTCTCTCTCTCTCTCTCTCTCTCTCTCAGTCACACAGACAGCAGGAGGGAGGGTTCTCCTCTAAAGCAGCCTGTCAGAACTCCTAAGAGCAGCCCGGTGCGCAAGAGCGGTCAGAAACAACTGGAGCCTAAAGAGCAGTCGCCAGACTCCAGCGCGGTCAGCCCTGGCCATGCTGACGGCCACTCCACCAACGGGGTGTTAGCCCAGATGGACAGAGAGAGCGCAGAGAGCGTACAGTGCACAGACGGCCAGCCGCTGCTGAACGGAGATGTTGGGGAGCAGAGCGTGGACGGGGACATAGATCTGTCTCATAGTCTGATTGAGGCAGGTGAGAGAGAAGAGAGAGAGAACGAGGCCGGGAGAGAGGCGACTGAGAATGAGGCCAGTAAGGAAGATAAGAGTATGGAGCACAAGGTGGGTGTGCATCTGATGTCTTTGTGTCAGCAATAATATGTGGGTCATCAAAGGGCATTAAAGCAATAAGTCACTCGAGGCTGTGCGTAACAATGATACTACTATGGTGTGAAGGTCTTGTAACCCATGACCTTGAATGGCCTAAAGCTGTGGGCAGTATGACAGTATTTATCATTGTTGTGAAAAATTACACCACAATGTGCTTTTCTGAGAATTTTGTGGATACTGTCAGTACCTAAACAACACTTGAACAACTGCATGTTCAATTACAAAGCGAGCATAATTAGGCCTGTTTAGCGCAGTGCAGTATGTTAAAGGTTAAATAAAAACCGCTATCTTTAAATGTGACACTGTTGGTGTTTTATGCATATTCCAACTAATCAAACCTTTGAAAAACTAAATAATGTAACATCATGAAAATGTCATTTTGTCATTAAAAATCACTATAAACAGTTCTTCCATCAAGCTATGGAGTTTGGTAACAGTAGGATATTACTGCTAAGCAGCATGTTCAAATCACTCAGCCAGTCAAATTGCTGAACAGAACTGTATTTATTCAGTCAAATATTCTTAATTCTTTCATATTTTAGTAAAGAGTATATGTAAGTATTGCCTCAAGGCCTTTAGGTTGATATGTTTGCTGGATTCTCTGGTGTATAAGGTGTATAAACATAATTTAAACCTGTTGAGTTGCAGAGAAGGGACAGTTATTTGACACCTCTTGCCCACTGGAGCAATGTGCTGTGCTGTCCATACGATTGCCAAGCCAGGATTAATTCTAGAGCCTCAGTCAGAAACCCTCAGTCACCTCCTCCTTAAGAAGAGCTGATTTTCCTCTCTGGGAGTAACACAGGGCAGCAGAGCAATGCAGTGAGATTACAAAAATATACAGCAGCTTTCCTATTTGAGTGAAAATGAACTAATCTCCCTAATGCCATTTTAAATGTATGCTCAAACTGTATGTTGTGTTAAGGACATTTGGAATTATGCAGAGTCATTGGTAATGTGTTAAGACTGCAATGCATTAAAATGATTTTGAAGTTCTGCAAGCTGGGGTGAAGGTGTTTAGGCCAAGCAGCAGGATTGAGTGTTGTGTGGAGGTCATCTGAATGTTTGATGTGCTCTTGCTGAGAAGTTAATTAATTGATAGATTTGTTCATCACTAGGAGAAGGAGGACTGTTGCATTATTAGCAGAGCCAAAGCAGGAGCACAAGCAGCTTTTCATACATTAAAAGTAAAGTAGGTTTTGTCCTTCTCCTGTAAAGATATCATTTTGGAGATACGAGGTTTTCTTCAGCAATATATTCAGCGATTTTATATATATATATATATATATATATATATATATATATATATATATATATATATATCATTATTGTAATAAATTATGTCACTGTACAATAGGCTTTTTCTGAACATATCATTAGTATGTAAACATTGACCAGCTGCCTGTTTCATTAAAAAAGACCAAAATTAGTCCCGTTTAACTGGATTTAGTTTTATTCAAAATTGAATAAAAATCTTTGTATTCACATTTTCTACAGTATTTTTCTTTTTTCTCAGTTCCAACTGATCAGATATCTGAAAAATTAATGTTGTGACATATCTTGTAACATGAATATGAAGTATCTCAGTAATTATTTTTGCCATATCGCCCACGTCTACACGCACCAATGCCTCTAACAGTCCTGTTGGTTTGTGCTGTTCTGGCTGGACTTCTTCTCTGTCCCTGTTTAGCAACTAAAAGGTGCACATCACCAGTTTGTGTCGTGAAGTGGCAGTTGTTCAAGGATTAGCTGGTTAATACTGGATTGAGGAATAGAATAGCATAATCACTTTATTGTAAATACATCAAATTTGCATTCCTGATCTCTAAAATTGCTTCATTTTGTTTATTGCCCAAGCCTACAAAAGGCTGATCTGAGGGTAGTGAAATGCAATACTAGTGAACCAGTACAGATCATATAGTATATATAATATAATATAATAGTATATATAATACACTTGCATGAACTGTACATTATGGTCAAAGAACCCAAATATCAGATCTGTCCCATTAAACTCTCTCTCTTTCTGTCTTTCTCTCTCTTTTTCTTTCTCTCCCTTTGCCCTTCATTCCTCACTCTTTCTTCCTCTATATATACTTATCTGTCTATTTCTCTATCAACACTGGTCCCTCCTTTATTGTCTTTACTCATTTCCTCTCTCCCACCCTCTTATTTCCTGTCTGCTCAGACCTCTTCATGCCAGTTAATCGACAATAAATCATTCTTCTGCCAAAAGTTGGACGCACCATTTTGGAAGATGAGCCGAGTTTGTGTGCTCTTCTGTATGTAGGGATATGAGAGAGAGGTCAAAGGTTGTGCTGTTTGCCTGTGCAGTTGGCTTGAGATTTGACTGCTTAAATTGCTGACACTCAGAGAAGCACTGTGCTTTGTCTTTCTACAGCAGGAAGTTCCCTCTGCAGGCCTCTATTGGCACAATGGCTCTGTTTGTGAATGTGGGTGTGTGTGTTCATTTGTGTTAGGGGTGTATGGGGGGATGTAAAAAGCTTTTGGATAACTACCTCAGTTTCTTACTAACCAGCATATACAGACAATTCACAGCAGCACACCTTACTCAGTAAAGATGTGTGTAATTATGAAACTCAGCTTACAGCAATGTATACAGCTTCGCTGTACTGTACAGTGTCATGTTTTTACTGGTGTGAAACACTTTGTTGAGTTAAGGGCTTGATTATCAGCTATGATTGAAAATCAGTTCAGTTTAACTTGTATAAGGCTTTTTACAGCAGCCCAGAGCCAGTTCATGGGGAGCTTGGCAACATCCTATTTCTTCTATTCTACCACAAAATGCTAAAGGGACACCTGCAAGCAGGTCCTTAATGAATGCGAGTGAATGGAGGAAAATGACTAAAAACAACAAAAAAGACATGTTTCTAGACATTTGTGTGGAAACGTCCTTTATTTTTAAAGATTACTTCATGTGTTCTTTATAAATTTCTGTAGCTCAGCTGGTAGTTTATAGCACTACATTGCTTATGTATTGCATTACATAAATAAATGTTAAATAAATGTACATGAAAAAAGCAAAGTTTAGAGTGCAATATCATGTGAAGTTAAAAGAGGGGCTTGGTTATTATATTAAAGACCACTTAGATAAGACAGTGGTTAATGTTGTAAACAGAACAACTGTTGGAAAGCTCGGCTGGACTTCTAATTGTCTTCACCTGCTTAATGTGATAAATATAAGAACATAGTAGGTAACATAATAGTAGAGTGGCAAATGAATGATCCAGAAACTGTTTAGAATCTCATGCTAGGTTTGGCAGTCAGCCTAATTTGTAGCTAATTACAAGTCATAGCATAGGTATGACTCAGGTGCAGTGCACACAGAACTGTGTGGTGCAGGAAGCCCTCCAGGGCAGGAGTTAGGAAGCACTGATTTTGAGCAACTTCAAAATTCAGCACTTGAGCTGCTATGTGGAACAGGAGCTCAATAAACTGAGAAGGAAACCTGTATGACTTGCACTCATGGTGGATTGTGATTAAGCTGGGCCTCCAGATGGTTTCAGCTCTTCAATCTATACTGCCTGGATGCAGCCAGGTATCTTCTCTATGATATGGTGCATGAGCCAGACGTGAGCAGTCAAGGCTATTTATGGGGGCCAGGGGAGAGGGAGGGGGGTCATCTATTTGATTGACAGGTGCAGGTCCTTCAAGGTCAGCTTTCAGAGACACTTTGTGCTGCCTCTCACTGTGAAATTTAATCTCATTATTTTGACTGAACCCTCCCCTAAGAATTCAATGTAACCTTTAGGCCACCTGCGCCAACTTGACTTGCCTGCATGAGTTTGTGGTCCACTGGAAACATATTTACCCTTGCAATATGGTCACTCTTATCTCTGTGAATCCACCTGCTGGCAACAGTCTTTTGAGAACAGCAACCGTCTTATGGGTGTAGATTCTGATTGATATTTTTCTCTGTTTAGGAGACCAATGAGCAGAAGCTGTACAAGATTGCTAATGAGCTCCTGCAGACAGAAAAGGCCTATGTGGCTCGCCTCAACTTGTTAGACCAGGTAGGTGCTCATGTAGGTGCCTTTGCACGATTAGTGTGTGCATTTTTTCCAAATTATGACTTATGAGTTAAAGAGCAATACCATTTTAGTATCATTATCTAATAATTGATGAGGAAGATACAAATGGGCTTCAGGCAGCCTAAAAATGTGGAAAAATGCTAAAAATATCTTGTGAGGTCAGTATATATCACGTATGTACACACATGCCCTCCCCTTGGCCCTGTTGTGCAGGTGTTCTGTGCCAAGCTGATGGAGGAGGCAGGGAAAGGCACATTCCCTGTGGATGTGGTGAAGAACATCTTCTCGAATATCTCCTCTATCAATGCCTTCCACAGCCAGTTCCTCCTTCCAGACCTGGAGAAACGCATGGGAGAATGGTAAGAAATCCAGCTTTGCTCAATATTATCTTTTACTGAGAAGCAGTTTCTTCTAGCATGCTAGAAAGTGTTGGTTCACTGTACATACAGCTAAAGCCGAACAACAGTATGATGAACAACTGAATGATAATGTGTGCTTACAATGAGTTGAGCTTTTTATATTGTGGTTTCTTGTACTGACCATCTCAGGGAGTCGACACCTCGCATTGGCGACATCCTGCAGAAGCTTACCCCCTTTCTGAAGATGTATGCTGAGTATGTGAGGAACTTTGATAAAGCCATGGAGCTGCTGAAACAGTGGACAGACCGCTCACCCCAGTTCAAAGCCATCATTCAGGACATCCAGGTGAGCTTTGAATATTGTTTTTGTAATATTGTTATTTTAGTTTTTTAATAATCAGTCAGTCAAGACATGTTTGGTGTCATGCCTCAATTATCACACATTTGTCTTAAACCATGTTGAGTTTTTAAGTAATATCAAATAGGCTTGCTAATACAAAACATCTCAACTTAATTAGTTAATTGGTGAGGCATATGTTCCTGTTACATGTTAGCTACATTAGCTTCACAGCTTCGGCACAAAACTAAAGAAGTAAACTTCAAACTCAAATATCTCTTGGCTGATCAGTTTGTCAGTATTTATTTAATTGGGGGCCTGAATGTTTTGTGCCAGACTTCACTGGTAAAAATGATTAAAACTAGAATGCTGTTGGTGAGCATTGATTGCTGATCAGGTCTTCATGGTGTCTGTTTGTCCTTTTATGTCCTGAGTTCAGAAGCAAGAGGTCTGTGGTAGTCTAACTCTGCAGCACCATATGCTGGAGCCTGTGCAGAGAGTGCCTAGATATGAGATGCTCCTCAAAGACTATCTGAAGAAGCTCCCTCAGGACCATGTGGACCACAGGGACGCTGAAAGTGAGTCCTCCTCAGAGTGCAATAAAATATGTTTACTGTTGGAAAATAAAAATGTCAGCAGATATATGACATACCTACTTTTTTTTTTTAAAGAGTCCTTGGAAATTATTGCCATGGCAGCCACTCATTCCAACACTGCCATTCGCAAATCCGTAAGTGTAGTTATTTTCTCCCTCACTCTCTTCCAGTTCAGTATAGTCAAATCAAAAGACAACTCAATCTCTTGCAGCTTTACAGATCAAGCTATAAATTAATCTTACTGCCACCCTTAATGCCTCGTGTCATTTCTTTCAGGAGAACTTGAAGAAATTACTGGAGATCTATGAGATGCTGGGGGAGGAGGAGGATATAGTGAATGCCTCCAATGAATTTATTAAGGAGGGCCACATTCTCAAACTGGCAGCCAGGAACACTTCAGCCATGGACAGATATCTCTTTCTGGTGAGCTCAAGTGGCTCTACTGTTGGTTTCTATGTCAGCATTTGGACTGTGTTTTTTTTGTTGGAGGGTCTCAATTAATGTTGAATAACTGTGACTCGTATAATGGTAAACCAAATTTCCCTCGCTTTCATTTTTAATTAGGGAATTGGAAGTAATATGTAAACAAACCATTCACTCTTCAGTCCCTACGGTTCATATATGGAAACCATCCTGCAAAAACAGCCCTTTTTGAATTCACTGTTTCTGTGATGTCACCAGAACTAATCATTTACATATTTTCACCTATTCAGCCAACAGCAGTCAAGCACCACCCATTCATATTGATGTTGAAGGGAGAATTCATCTTATATCAGTCTTAGAGGAACAGTAACACAACCAGCCCGTTTAATTATAAGGGATAAAGAGAGATTGGAAAATGGTTATGTAAAAATTAATTATTATCATTTCTGGTACATAAAACCACACAAATGGTGTAAGTTGGACCTCAAGAGGAAAAATAAACTACAAAAAAAGTTAGGATTTGGGCTCTTGTTCAATTTCAAAATTAATTTATTAACATTGTGCTGTATTTGGGGGGTGGCACGGCTGCATTTATATAGCACTTCATACAAAATAAGTCATCACAAAGCAGCTTATTCATTTCTTAGATTGATGTGAATCTCTTATATGTGGGTTAATCTCTTAAACCTGTCTCCAGTTCAACAACATGCTGCTGTACTGCGTTCCCAAGTTCAGCCTGGTGGGGCAGAAGTTCACAGTGCGTACGCGTATTGGAATTGATGGGATGAAAGTGACAGAGACATACAACGAGGATTACCCCCATACTTTCCAGGTGTCCGGCAAGGAGCGTACTCTCGAGCTGCAGGCCAGGTGAGGCTCATTGTGGATCTTTTCATATCACAAACATGTAACTACAGAAATTCCTTTTTCAAACAAGCCACTGTTTGTTGAAAATCACCCGTTCTCTTGCTTGTGTTCTCTCCAGCTCTGAGCAAGATAAAGAGGACTGGATAAAGGTAAATAATTAACTGAGCTCTGGATCTGTTTTTAATGTCTGAGCATCATTATGTAAAAGCCCTCTCTGACAGCAGCATTCTGTGCCTTTTAGGCATTCCAGGAAACAATAGAGATCTTTCACCAAAAGAATGAGACGTTTAAAACAGCATCTAAAGACGTGGAGGAAGTGTCGGTGAGTATCATTTTGTCAGAAGATCAATAGAAAAATCGATTACTTGTTCATACATTAGCCAAGGTTAGTCATTTGATGTGAAAGGAATTTTGCTTGAACTCTTTTTGATGACTGATTTCAGAGATGTTGTGTTTTGCTCCCAGATATCGGAGCTGGGGAAGCGTGCCCCTCGCTGGATTCGAGACAATGAGGTGACGATGTGTATGAAGTGCAGAGAACCCTTCAACGCTCTCACTCGCAGGAGACATCACTGTCGAGCCTGTGGTTATGTAAGTGACATGCTGACACAGCTTTTGTTTGTTAATTTTATGCATCATTTACTACATTAATGAAGGATTAAATCTCAGAAGTCTAAAATGATTATTGCCATTTTTGCTATATTATTTAAAAGTAATAACATAGTATAACAAACACACATGGCTTACATAGTTATGTGATCAATTACATTTATATGCAGTTTACATTATGTATTCATAAGGTTTCGTGAGTCTGCACAACGGAATATTTCTGTTTTTGATAGAGTGTATTTTTCTTTCTGCAGAATTAGTCTGTATGCACAACATTTCTTCATCATATTTAAATCATAAAATATCTTCTCTTCTCCTTGACTGACAATTTAGAATCTGCGCTTCTCTGCTTGAATTTCTCTGCTTGATTCAGTGAACTAGGAGTGAGAAATAATTTATATAAAACAACATACAATACTATGGAAACGTCAGAGACCACCTTTCATTTATTTAATTTCCAATCAAAATAGCCATTAAGTTCATTAAAATATCACTTTTCAGCATCAGGAACAAAAACATTTTTAACAGAAGCCTCCAACACAAATCTATCAGTACTTAAATTGTCCATTCTTTACTTGTGTACACTTTACTGCCACTTTAACTCTTCCATCCTTCCAGTCTTAAAACCAACAAGTTACTGCTGTGTCCTCCCAACAAGAGCTGTTCCCAAAGATAACATTTACTAAGAGTAGCTTCACACAAGCAACTACCCAAACACACCTTAGCTGAATGCAAATTTCTTTCTTAAACGCATCAAAAATGAAGGAGATATTTCTGAGAGGATAAGATACAAGACAGTCCACCTACAATAGAAGGGGGAAGTCAAAGGAATAAAGTGAAAAAACAGGAGTTTCCAAAACTGGAGTTCAAAATATAATTAAAAGATATAGAGAAAACAGAATTTGTAACAACCCTGCAAGACCTGGTAAACCACCTAAACGATCACCATCAGATAAACAGTACTTAAAGCTTTCATCTCTGAGAAAGAGGAGAAACTCAAGCTCCACTCTTACTTCAGTGTTTCTGTGCATCCTTCCACTGTGAAAAGACAACTCAACACTATGAGTCTGAAAGGATGTGTAGCTATCAAGAAGCTGTTGCTGAGAAAGGGAAACATTTGCACTAGAACCATGAAACTGGACATTTGAGATGTGAAGCGTTTATGGACTGATGAGTCAAAATTTGTAATTGGGATTATTTGGATTGTGAGAAGCAGAAAATGCAACCAACTTCTCAAACGGAACTGTAGAGTTGTGGGAAAATATCTGCAGATTTCTTTAAAAAACTGAAAGCAAGTCTCCTGAAAAGAATGGAAGCTGTAATAAGTGCAAAGAGTGGACACTTTCTGAGAGTAAGTGTGCTCTTTTGGATGTTTGTTCCTCAGGTTGTGTGCTGGAAGTGCTCAGACAATAAGGCTCCTCTGGAATACGATGGGAATAAAATGAACAAAGTGTGTCGAGACTGTTACTCTATTCTAACAGGCCACACAGAGAGCGAAGAGAAAGAGGGCAAGAAGAAAGGCATTCTGGAGGTGAGTGAAGACACAAGATTACATACAGATGTAAGAATAATCATGTGTGAGAGCATCATGATATATATCAGAACACAGTGGGTGTACACCTGCACGTCACACGTAAATGAGGAGTTAATCAGTGAGAAGCATTCTGTTGTTGAAAGAGCTGAAGCTGTGATGTATTTGTAATGAATGTTTCTGAAAGAACTATTTATCACAAACTCTACACACAGTTTCGGAGAAAACGGCTTGCACGTGTTCAGCATGAGCAATCAGGGGCGGTAAGCTCAGTTTTAAGGGGGCACTGGGGGACTGGCAGAGTGTGCCACTGACAGAGGTGCAAAATTAGCACTTTAGAAAAGGGGTCAAAAGCAGAATAATCAGACACAATTCTGAATCACTAGAGATTACAAATTAACAGTGAATTAATGCTTTATCCCCTCATCTAAAGTGGTAAGTCATTGGTCCCGGGTCTGAACTCACTAAACTGAAATTCTCACACACCATCCAACCATCTTTGCTCTCAATTTCTTTCCTTTTCGGTTTCAGTTCAAGTTTACTTTTGTCTCAAGGTGATCGGGTAAGGTGTTTTCAGGGTGCCTTTCATCCCTCTCAAGATATTTTGTAGTTGTATCTAATCAGCTTTCTCTCTTTCCTTGTCAGATTGAAGCAGCTCAGTTTTCTGGCAGTAGTATAATGTGCGGCTTCCTGCAGTACTGTGAGAAAAATAAGCCCTGGCAGAAGGTCTGGTGTGTCATCCCTCAGAAAGAAGCTTTAGTGCTCTATCTGTATGGAGCACCACAGGTGAATGGATTTTGACTATGTACATGTGTATTTTAAAGACCATAGTGCATTGCCAGCCTACTAGCCACACTATCCCATTTGCATTGAGGGCACCTATATGTACTAATACTCTAAATATACATGACTACAGTTAATACACTAACTTTGTAGATAGTCATGTCAAGACCTTTCTGATTTCTTTAACACCTACATATTTGCTCAGTACCCTGATTAATATGGATATGTGAACAGCTTTCCAGATTTCCATCATTGTTATTGCTGGTTACATAACTGCAACGCATCACAAAAAAGGTCCTTAATAGAAAAACGTCTTACTGTGTCTCTGATCCCACATAAACAAAGCTGACATAGATGTTTTCAACTTGACATCAAAGCTGACAATTGCAACCTTTATGACAACTGACACCTATTGGTATAAGTGTTTATGTAAATGTAAATAAATATAACTGTAGGTCTGCGTCAGCTGCCATGAAGGCTTATGTGTTGGCCTACAATAAAGTGCAAAATTTCCATTTTATACGTGTGTGTGTGTGTGTGTATATATATATAAATAAATAAATGTGTGTGTGGGTGTATATTCATGTACTTGTGTATCTGCCATTCAAAAGTTTCAAACTGGTCCTCATATCACTCCACTCCCCATCTCCACAGGACGTTAAGGCCCAGTCCACGATCCCATTGCTAGGGTACTCTGTGGACGACGCCACCCGGCCAGCAGACCCTCCAGCCAGCTTTCGTCTGTCACAGTCGAAGTCCGTGCACAGCTTTGCAGCAGAGAGCGAAGAGCTGAAGCAGCGCTGGCTCAAGGTGATCCGGGTGGCCGTGACGGGCGAGGTGCCAGAATGCCCACCACCTATAGAGCCCCACGGGGCAGAGGGCAGTCATGAACCTAGCTCAGAGAGCATCTGAGAGACTCCAGAAGAGCAGCTTCTGCTTACTCGACCACAATCAAGCCTCAGAGACAGAGAGCTTAGAGGCACAGCCTGAGAGAGGATGTCTGAGAAAAATAACACAAACTCTACACTCACTTACTTGTGGAGCATGGACGCCACCTGTTGATAGGGCAGTGTATCTCCACATTGGATTTAAAATGTTCCTAAGTGACAAGAACAAGGCTTTCCCTCTGAAACATGGAGGTCCAAAGCGATGGCACACACAAGTGCTTTGAAACTTCACCAGTGCCCCAAGACAGGCGCCAGCAGCCTGGGCCAAATGACGTTTGGATGAATGCACAGCCATTTCCGCACATCATGCTCTCATGCTCAGCCCTGTTATAGTGCAGCATAATGTATAAGCATTGTATATACACACATTGTACCATTTTAAAAGCAGTCAATCCATTAAGTATGTATGAGGGGATGTGCCCTCACTGTCTCTTTTATAAAGATATGATGTGAATGCAGGTTCTCTCCAATGCTGAAGCCAAGTTTGAAATTGAATTCAGGCTGCCTCAGCACTCTGGGAAGAGAGTAATGCTCTATCTTCATTCACAGGGACTGCACATCACATTCGGTTTCAATTTTACATGCAATAAACACTCATTAACGTCACTGCACCTGAAGACGGGTTCAGCAGGAGCCATGGTGCCGCATTTAGGAACCAGCATGAACTCATTCCCAGCACATTAATGGAAAAAAAAAAAAAACACTCATGGATATGTACACTGAAACAAGCAATGCTTTCTCCTAAGCTAAGGACACCTATGCTACAACAGTAAAGTCAACAGAGTTATCTATTGTATTATCATAAGCTGGACAAATATCCTTACTTTACAGGCCTAGGCAAATCACACCAGTGAATGGTCAGACAGACTGATTTTTTTTACCCAGTCGGGTGAATGTGCCGTTTCTCAGAACCTATCTCTTGTCAGGATAGCATTTAAGATAAGAAAGAAAAGTCTGTATGATATTTAACATAGACTGAAGGCCACATTTGTAGACATGTACATGTTTATCATCCACAAGCACAGAGTATGTGTCCTTCTTTCTATATGGTGGCCATGTTCATACATCTGGATGAGTGCTAACGAGCTGGCCAGTGGAGATGTGGTGCGCTACTGATGAGTGTCTTAAATGAGACTTCCTGCGCGGGCAGAACAATCAAGGACAAATAGGCCCAGAAGCAGGGAGACATATGTAAATGTTTTATGAAATACTGTAATTAACTTTATTTAAGAGTAATTTATAAAAGATGTGCATGATTTTGAAAAGCAGTAGCACAAAGCAGCGTTCCATACCATTTTGCCTCCCTCTGTCGAGTTGTTCTGTCCATTTATGATTTTAGTATTCAGCACAGCATCATAGTCAACGTTTGTGATTTTGTTGTTCTTGTAACATTTTCTTTTTTCTCCACTTTCACAATATTGAACTATGTTTGAGAACTGGTCAGTGTTTTACGAATGGTAATATGTGCCTGCAACAGTCACATTTAAAACAGAGACAAATCCTGGGCCAATCTAGCAGTTGCATATTGCCTAGTATTGCAGATACGTAGGCTAGGTCATCTATTATAGCAACAGGTACACTGAGGTTTAGCCTCTTAACTAGTATGAACACAGCACCTCTAGTCTAACAATGCAGTGTTGTGTCTATAGCCAGACTCTTCTGGCCTGACAAGAAAGCAAGAGTACTGGTGTGCCATTTTAAATGCTGAATGTAGCCCTGTAGTTTGTTCAGATTTTCCCCTAGCATTAGTTACAACAGGTTGACCCTAGAGTTAGCTGGAGAAAGCCCCAATTCTCTACACTGAAATTTCCTCCCTTCTCCAAATCTAAAATGCACTTTACCGTCTTCTATAAAGTGTACCTTGTAAGATAATAAAAACAAAAGGATTATGTATTTGGGTTTGTTCTTTGTTTAGTATAAACAATGTGTCACAGTCTCACAGCCAAGAGCTATACTAAGCCTTTTTGCTTAGTGCAGCAGTGTTCTTTGCTGAAAAATGCTAAGGTACTACATTTCCTTGAACTGACCTTTTTTGTTTTAAGATTTATTTCGTTCGATGCTATGCAACATAAGCATGCATGCTGGTGACAGAAACTGCTTAAAGTGCCTGAGCTGGAACTAAAAGCAACCACGCTAGAAAGTCTTGTCTGGCAATTTAAACTCGTTTTATTCACGTCATTAGAAAATACTAAATACCCAAAAACATCAGAAAATCTTTTAACGTGGAAAATTTCATGACAGTGTTTTGTAAATAAAGCAATTTAGGAACATGGTATACAAGTCAGGTTTGGATAACAGCTTTGCTTTCTCTGTAAAGGACTGCTGACTATAAGTGGTATGTTAAGCTCTTGGTGTGGAAAACTCCAGGAAAACGTTTTGTAGAATGCACAGAAGTGTGTATCTAACTTTTGGCAAGGCGCACGAGGCCGCGGATCCTCCGTGTCAGAGCCTGGATGAAGGTGTGGCGAGAGTGAGTTTTGCTGTAGAGGCCCTCCACCTCCAACAGCTTCCTCTGTAAGGGCTCAGTGAAGCTATTCGCCACGTCGTTCTGCAACTGAAAACACACACACACACACACACACACACACACACAATTAACCCTTCAGTACCTACATAAACCACTCAAAAGATCCTCCACTGAGTGGAGCTTGAAATTTTGTGTGAATCCAAAGGGATCAGACTATTCATAATGATGCTCGGGTCTAGTTAAGATCTCCCCATCTAGTTTCTCACAACTCGTCTTTCTCCTTTAATCGATAATCGATTTTGGCCTGCATTACCCCCTATTTTACTTTTTTCTTCTGCTTTTTTGTCTTAAATTTCTCATCTGTCCCACTCCAGTCACCTCCAAGGCAAGCATGAGAACATCTGTCATTGTTGCTACAAGCTGACAAAGGGAAACTTAACCCCAAATGCTAAAAATGCTAATGCTAAAACATTATTTAGTTAATAGTAAAGAAAAAATAAATATATTAGCAAAATTGTAACTGGCAAAAGTTACCATAATGTAGAATGTTTGCAAGCTGGTTCTTGGCCCACTTGCATTCAGTATTTGTAGCATTAGCATTTTGAGGTAGACTGTCCTTGTTGTAACAGGCATCATTGGCAGATATGCAAACTTGAGCCGTGGAAAAAGTTGACAAGTTTTGGATAGAAAATACTCCTGTAGGGGGCTTTGTCCCCCAGAAGAAAACATTTGTGATTTTAACCTGAGTATGAAGCATTCTGGTGAGAATAATATATAGGGGTGCAAGTGATTCCTGTAGAATGATTCAGTTCACAGAGTGAAACAAATATGCAAACACACAGTTATCCTGAAAACTACTGCCTTCCAGGTATTTTGACTTCAATGGGTACACAATTATTCCCAATGTGAAAAACTAAGAAAAAAAAAACAAAAAAATTATATATATGTACATATAAATACATATATACACATATACACAATTCGCATGAATGGCAAATTCATCATTCAAAATGCCCAATTTCACTGAACTTTCACCTAGCTTCATTAAGTCTCCAGATTTTCATTGGCTCATTCTATTCTGGGTATTCTAAACTTTGTGAAGTGCGTCAGGTCAGGCCGGACGTGAGCAGAATATACTTGGGCTTTATTTGGGTTTGGATCAATATTTCAGGCCTGATCAAAGCTCCACCCCTGAGAGTCTGTGCAGTGGTTTGTACCTGTTCCAGATCCTGTTGGCTGACTCTGGACAAGCCAAGGCCTCCACCCCCACTGGCATCTACACAGACAAAAAACAGGGTGTTGAAGTTCAATGCCAGGAACTTATGTGAAAACCTGGCCTTGTTTAAGAATACTCTGTCAAAGTACAGGAGTAGGCTTACCTCTGTATCCTGGAAGCAAGGAGTCTTTGGGGTCACTGGGAGTGCAGTAGAGGAGGTAGTACTCTAGGTGGCGCCAGATCACAAACAGGCTAGTCTCAATGATGTCTTGGCAACAATATGTCAAGAAAAACAGCATTTGCCTTCAGAAATGAAAGATACGTGTGTGATACAATTCCAACAACCCAAGGTTAATGTGTTAAAAAAAGGTATTCTTATGTAAGTCAAGCTACATCAAAATAACTCTCTGGTGGTGGGTAAGTAGGGAATGTGTGAGTGTGTAGAAGGATACAGGAGCAGAGAGCCAGCAGCTTGGCACGGTTGTTCACAAGCTGAACAAGACGGCGTTTGGCCAGCACACTCCTCTGCACAGACGGGATCTTCTCCACTCCACCTGACCCGGACACCAGGCCCTGGCACAGCTACACACATACACAAAAGAACAGTCTCCACAAGTTCTCTTGACCTCCAACACTATTTGTCTTCAAACAACATCACTTGCAAGACAAAGAAAGAAGATTCAGGAATTTGGGTTATGTAACCTCTCACTGTTTGTCAACAACAAAGTAAAACAACTTCTTGTACTCTAAAACAGGCAAATTATACAGGTTAGGTACAAGTACAGTACAGTATAAATACAATTTAGTACAGATACAAGACTGGTAATTAGAGAGAATTCTTTGTCATGTTTGCAGGAGTTGTGTAAAGCTGTAAATTACTACATTTTTAATATGTATGTACTACAGATGTTATCTAAATAGGCAACTAATTTAAAATTGAAATATTTAAAAATGCCAGTTTCCATTAAGGAACAGACAACATTATTTAAATTGCAAGTTTGGCTAATAAAAAAATGCTGGAAATGTGCTATTGTGTTTCATGTTTTCATTTACAGCACACTGTGTAAGCTTCAAGTATTACAAAATGTATTAATGAAAACTGGACAAAATAATAGAAAAACAGCCATTAATCAATGTGGCTGTAAAGAAATCAGAACTGGCCATAAAAATTCATTATTGTTGCAGTACCAATATGTACCTCTTTAAGCTCCTCTGGGGCGAGCTGTTCCAGCCTTTGAAGCTTGCCCAGACTCTGTCTGTGGCTGTCATGGTATCGAAAGAAGTCTGTTGCACTGTTCTTCAGCAGGAGCAGAACCAAACCCAGGCTTGGCACCCGAGACACTGATGGCACTGCCATGTCTGATCCACAGAGAAGAGAGCACACAGCACCAGCTTACAGTGAGACACAGGCATAGAAGAGAACATATTTACATTCTGCATAATTCGCATGCACACTGGCTGAGCATGAGACCAAGATAGAGAGATAGAGATATAGAGATAGATAGAGAGAGAGAGAGCGAGAGAGCGAGCGAGCGAGAGACAGACAAAGACAGAGACACGGACAAAGACATATGGACTGACCTGTTGGTTCACTGGCTGAGGGGCTGAAGAGGCAGACAGTGAACTGGGCTTCAGCTGAGCTTTGCAGGAGCAGCGTCTGGCAGTACTCCATAATATTAGCACAGATCTGATGATAGAGACAGTGAGAAATATGAGGGGCGTCCACAGGAAGTCAGATTCATGAGTTTGGTATCAGGTTTTGTTGTGCTCGGAATAGTTCAATCGTTAACTCATTTATCATTCACTACATGGCGCATCCTACATAGTGAACTGACTGGGGAACGACTATGAAATGACCAAAAGATTTATCAGTGAGAATTCTTCAAACATTACAAATGCTGGATATACTATTTGGTAAAATATGAATGTTTGTAAACATGCACGCTGGCTATACTTCACTGGGGGACAATTTTCATCCAGTCAGCAGCTCATTTAAAGTAGCAGTAAAGAGACTTGGCAATAATGGTAAAATCTTTTTGTGTTTGAAGTGTATCCAAGTGCATAAATATACCCAAGTACATAATGGATTAAGTTTAAAGTTTTTCCTATTTTCTAGCTTTCAAGCAGGGTTGCTGTAAGTAGCATTAAATCCTTTAAATCAATGGAAAGTCAATGAAAGGCACATTTAGCTTACCATAATATAGCAATTAATATAAAGGCTCTAAATTAACATTACTGTAGCAAATAAATGCTACTTATAAAATAAAGGTTTCTATCTGAAACACTGCAATGAAATGTGCAGCCGTTGCATGTTCATGATTATGTGACAACAGAATGTAAGGTAGCTTAGACCATAGCAGCTTTAGTAGCATACAGCCTTGCTAAAAACAACAATGTATCAACACAATGCTACCAGAATTACACACAAAGAAGTAAGCTCTTTGTTGTGGCATAAAGCTGAGTTATTCACAACTTAGGACTTTATACCTGTTGCATGGCAACCTCCATCTCCTCCCTCTTCTCTGCAGCATCGCCGGGGGCAACACTCTCCTCTATTTGCTTCAGGTAGCGAGCACGTTCAGTGCCAGCCAGACGTACAAGCAGAGAAACGCTCTGACGCTGGTGGGAGGAGAAAGAAAGTCAGCATTGCAGTACAGATGTAATGATGAAAAAGGACTGGATTCCTTACTCTAGATAACAGACATTTTACACAAAAAAGCCATGGTATTCCTCTACCTGAAATCTGCCAATGTGTCCTTGGAACTCTAGCATGGCTGCACTGTTGATTTCTTGCCCCAAATCCAAAGCTCCTGACATCACAAACACACAAACGTTTTACAGTTTGTTCACAGAGCAGTAGCAACAGTGAAGATGTATGTATGTTGCAGTCAGTACCAGGTAGTGCCGTTTTGCTGATGATGGCTGTGAGGAGAGAGAGTTCTTGTAATGATCCCATACTCACATCCTGACTGCGCAGGATAGACTGAATAGTGTCTGAGTGCACGATCAGCCACTGGAGCACCTACACACAGAAGCATTTACTGTTTGTGATGAACACTGCACATCAATGTCCACACACACAGATCTATGTGAAGGACTAGCATACCTGTGCTGCCCCCTGTTGGTGGTGCGTGGTGGTGGAGGTCAGAATGACCTGCAGGAGTCTGAGTGTTGGCAGCAGAATCTGTCTGTATCGCTCCAGAGGGCTGGGGATGAATCCTGATGGGTCCCTCTGACCAAACACTCTACAAAGGGAGAAAGAACAACAAAGAAATTAAAGAACTGAGAGGTCTGACAGAAGCTGTCTTAACAAACAAATATTGACTAAACAGTGATTCATCACCATTCAGTTTAAAATGTTTAACAATATAGGACTAATTTGTTATCAGATGCACGTATAAACATGTTCTATCATGAGGCTACCACTGAGAGATTTTTAAAATTTAAATAAAAAGAAAAAGATCCTCTCGTAGGGATCTCGTAGATGATTCTAAAATCATTAAGAAAGCTGTATGGCAGTTTCAATGAAATTAACATACAGAATGCCTCATATTTCAAAATGCTGATCAAATCTTGAGGCAGATAATTTGACAAAATTATTGTATCTAGATAAAACAGCATTACAATATTTTTGTATATAATTACAGCATAGTTGTTTTTATTTTTCAATTAATAACTGAAATAAGCATCTAAAAAGACCTTTCGTGTGTAGTTCTCTCGTTCTCATACTGCTACGTTACATCTTGTTTCAAGAGGAACAGCAGCTCTCCACTTTCCTTTTTCTTTTGCTAGTTTGGTGCGTCCTGTGACTACTGTCCAGCACTGTATGCTGAATTACTGATACTGCCAGCATTAGTGGGGTGTTTTGCTAGCTGTATTTCAGTGATAAACAAATTCACAGCATTACAGTAGCTAGAAATAACTTTTTTTTTTTTAGATCAATGGAGCCTTTAACGGACATTGCCATTTCAAAGCTGCATTTGACCAACATACAAAGTGCGTAAACAGCTGGGTTTTAGGCTGGATCGATGGATGGTTTGAAAGGTCAAACCGAAAATGTGTTAAATGTGACACTTACTTGTATTGCTTTTTTGTTTTGTTAAATTTATATTTGGTATAGCCCTAGTTGTTGTAGCCCTAGACGCTGCCAACATAAAGTAACAACAATTATTAAGAGGATGTGTTATTACAAACTCTGGAACACTAGTGTACATGTGGTTCTTCATGTTCTCCCTCTCTCACCTGAATGAGTCGTTCTCAGGCAGCATGTGAAACACTCTGCACTCGGCCAGCTGAGCCACAAGCCCACAACACAATAGCTCCACAGCCCCCTGTGCTGTCTTAGCCACGCGGGTCAGCAACGCCTGCATTCGCACAAACACCACATACACTCATCAATACTTCAGAAACATGGTAAATATAGCACAGTTAGCTACATTTTCAACTTGACCACACTACAGAAAAATCTTAGGGCCCTAATTAAAAGTCCTGGGGCTTTTTAATACTTGTTTCTGTTTTATTCTAAAGTGTGGGCAGTGCTGTTTACTTTAAAAATGGTCTAATAAATCAATCAATCTTGGTCTCTCACCATCTTGGACTCGTAGATGTATAAGGGTTTGAGCAGAGGTGGCTGGGGCATAAGCAGAGTTTGCAGTGCAACATCATCCTGCCGCAGGCTCTCCACCAGCACTCGCAGGTAGCCGCTGTTACACAGATAGACCAGCCACTGGCTCTGCCTGTCTATAGACAAAACCCTGTCCAGCACAGCCAGAGCCAACATCTGAGACACACAGAAAGAAATAATGTAAAACAAAGATACAGAAATAGGGAGGAACTCACTCTACAGTAAACTGTAACAATACAACTAATATATATATAGTTATATATATTATATATATATATATTTAGTTGTATCCAATTCCACCCGCTAGTTAGGACTCCCCCAGTCACACGATGCCATCAACGCTAGGAGGGCGAAGGCTAGCACAGGCTTCCTCTGAGACCTGTGAAGCCAACCACCGCTTCTTTTCGAACTGCCACTCACGCAACGTCATTGGACAGCTGAACGCGCTCGGAGGAAAGCGCCAACCGCCAGATCTGTTACGTCAGCTAACAGACGCCTGCGCTGACTAGCATCGCGTTAAGTGATAGGGGAAGAGGGAGGGGCCATCCTGCCCACCCAGAGAGCAACTCCAATTGTGCTCTTTTGGACTCCTGGCTACGGATGGCCCACAATACAACTATTTTGCAGATGCTGTTTTAAGTCCTACAATAGGTTTAAGAATAACCAACAATCCTTAAAAATGAACAATGGTACATTATATATAAAAGGTCTGTAGACTTCTGTTCTGATCAGTGAATTCAGCTGCTTTAGTTGTTCTCATTGCTGACACAGGCATTCAACTGTGCACTCAGAGCTTGTATAATCTCCAAACAAAAGCACAACCAAAGGAAAAGTACATCTAAAGTGCAAAATAAGACGTACCAGCAGTAGGAGAACAAGAAAGAATTAGGACAAAAGAAAAAATAAATGCCCCAAGAGGTGAAAAGGCAATTGCAGGATTATTCCTACCCTGCCTATTTCATGTCCATCACAAGCATCTCTGCAAACCACCTCCATCAGGGCAGTGCCGTAGCTCTCTATGATGGCCAAGTTCTCCCTCTGAAGCTTAGAGAAGCCATCCTCAGGAGCAGTAAGTCGCTCCCACATGGACATTCCTGCAATTCACACGCCAAAATCGGGTAAAGAAACATGTTTGATATTCTGTTGTGCATTTACTGCCAATACTTCACTGTGCCACTGTCATCAGTCAATACGTATGCATAAGTGTACCTGTCTGCAGCGTGTCAGGCTCCTCAGGTTTCTGGGCGATTTGTAAGTAATAGAGCAGAGAGCCATACAGGTGAGCACGCAGACGCTGGAAACCTCCACCTAGAATATAACATTTTAACACAAGCTTACTTAAAATGGCTTATCAGTCAATACATACACTGTCCCAGCAGCCCTGAGTATAAAACTTGCTTTCAAAAAGTACCTCACCCACCTGTGCACAAGATAAAGTCCAGCAGCTTCCGCAGAATGAGGTGAAGGGCAGAGTTAGCAATGGAGGCAAAACCTGATGAAGAACCACCCTCAAGTCCAGAGCCTTGCTGTTGCTCAGACAGCACTGACTGGCTGAGGTGTGCGGTCAAAGTGAACACTGCCCCAGCAACTACTGGCATCAACTCAACTGCAGCATCCTCTGACAAAACCTGGAACCAACAAGTCCGAGAAAAGTCAGAAATGCAAAATAATCAGTCTACAGACTCGAGCACACTGGAATACACTATTAATTAAAATTTGGAATCACTTGTCATGAATTATTTGGTTATTTTATATACAATATAACAATTTAAACAACATGTATTTAAATATTTTAGCCATAACAGACTTAAAATGGTACACACAGTCAACATTGCAATTTATTGTATTTTGGGAACAACATGAAGTTATTAAAAAGGTAAATACACTATGTACAATTTTTTTTAATGAACTTACATACTTCAAGATATGATCACCAAATTATACACATCTGTTTGACCGGTGTAAGCACTCGTTTTTCCCCACCCCTCTATTGGTGCTAAAAACATTTAGCAACTTTGAGTAGCTTATCATAGTACAAAATCCAGATCTTTTCCTCACATACATTCTTGATACAAGGTTTTATGCACCCACTGCACTGATACGTTTGATGTCTTTGTGTATCATGATTACAGCAATGAAACTAAACCTTACTTGATCTCTGCTTCTTTGGTTAGACTGTCAATCTGAATTTAATCAGGTCGCTGATGCTTGCCCAAGAATACGATCATGTGCCAAAATCAAATGCATGGCTTCTATATTATTTTACTGCATGTCTGCCATTTTTAGCATCAGCTCATGCTGCAAGAATAACGAGTGTCTGTCAATAGTGAAGAGTTAAAACAGGCAGAATATGCAGACAGTACAGTGCTGATGTGCTGCTAGAAAAAAAGGAAAACAGGCCCTGATGCTGAATTTTCAGAGTTCACTTCGAAGTGGACTGAGACTTGCGATTTTTGAAAGACCAGTCATTTGGTCACAATGAACCAAACTGAACGAAAATTCCAACTGTTCCACAAAAAAAACAAATAGGTGTGAAAATGATTTGTCATTTTTCCTCTTCATAGCTTCCTACTAATCAGTTAACGTCTTTGAAATTCAAAAGGTCTTCAAACAAATAAATAAATTTAAACCTCTGAACAGTCAATGATTCCAAGCCTTTGAGTTTCTCAAGAGAGCTTCTGAAAACCAAACAGAAAACTCTGTACAGTACCTTGTCATGGAGGTCGAGCAGCAGGTCTCTGATGATGAGCTGCCTCTGATCAGCAGGGATGAGCTCAGCAGGGCAGGCAGTGAGGATAGTCTCCACCAGACTCCTCCAACTCTGCAGAGCATGCCGCTTAGCACTCAGACTGCACCGCACCCGGTTCCTCTCCACCACCTGCTGCAGGATAGAGTTCACCTCCTGATAGAAAGAGAGAGCAACAGAGACAGAAAAAGAAATATTATTGAGATTGAAATTCAGCATGTGTATGGCTGTACCCAGTGCCTATAAACAAAATTCTCACCTCCATCAGCAGTGGCCGTTGCCCAATGGCAGCCATGCCCTGCAGTGCGTTGACCTCTGCAACCAACACTCTGTGTAGCAACTGCAGGGTAAAGAAAAGCAAAGAATTGAATATCGAGAACTAAACGAGGACAATAACCTTAGGAAATTCTGAAGGATTGTGTAAACAGCTAAAAGACAGCTTACAGAAGAACACACATGAATGAAGGGCTCAGCAATGTGATGACACGAACCTTGACATTGCAGACCGTGTGTCCTTGCTCGTTGACATGTTCACAGTTAGAGATGACCTGCTCAATCTGAGTGCGCTCAAAGAAGTCCAGCTGCAGTTGCTCAGGCACCTCTTGACTGAAGTCTATAGCATCCAGAACACTCAGGAGTTTCCTGCGCACTGAAACAGAACATCCCAGCAGCACCTTTTATTAATGTGGTCACTTAAAATAAAAACTGTGTTTATGCAGGTATAACAGACTTCACTGTATACTCACCTTTAGAAACTGTGTCAAAATGCAGGAAGCTGCTGACTGATTTACTCTCATCATCCATGCCCATCTCCCCATCTGAAATCAAATAATGTGAAACCAACCACAGTGATGTAATTTTCCTTAAAATGAAATAGAATCAAATGTATGAGAAAGAATATTTCAAGGGTAAATATTATCTTTTTGACTTTATAAAGCCAGTGACATTGTACATATGGAAAAGGACAGTCATGTCAGTTTGAAGATGTGAAGATTGCTGAAAAATGCATTGCCTACTAGATCAGTTGTGGGGGCGGTCAGCAATGCTTATATATATTACTGAATATAATCCACTCCTCTTCAAGCTGTGCTGTGGTCCTTAGTGTGTTCACACATGTATGTGTGCGTTACCTGCATGCTGCATGTGTGGCTGGTCATCCAGCAGAAGGTTGAGCAGTCTCTGAGTGTGTGAGCGCTGCCGGTTCAGTGAGGTCACTCTGAGCTCGATGGCTGCGGTCTTCATTAGCCAGGACATCTGGTTCAAAGCCGCAATCTCATTCCCTAGAGGAATGAGAGGAAAAGAGTGAATTGAGGAGCCACACAGCAGTGAGAAGTGCAGAGAGCTGCCCTGTCAGTAACTGGTTTTTCACTTATATTTTAAGCAAATAAAAAAAAAATTTTGATCATGTGCATAAAAAACCTGAAAGAAAAAGTGTGAATGGAAAGAATGGAATGAAAGGCGCAAAAAGCTTCAATGACTGGCCATGATGGAAAAGTTGCAAACGACTGATAAAGACATAATACCACATAGTGATGGAAGCTTTTTTTTCTTAAACTATGACATAGCGGGGATGTTAGTGACATGTTTCTGTTCCATCTGAGCAGAGTATGAGAGTGGCGCACTTTGAGAGTGGAGCAGACAGGACTGATTTTGCCCGGAACAAGGATTCAGTGTTTTCTCTTGCTCCAATATCACTTTGATACCGCCATTAGTGACGTGGCGGCATGACTGACGCACCCTTCCTCTTCAGAAAAAAATCTTCTGGATTTTTCCATAACTGGAGTTGATTTTTTATCTCAGGTAAAAAATGTACAAAACATTCTAAATCTAAATTTACTAAATGACTGACAGAAGGCACCAACCTGGCAGGATGAAGGGTAAGTGCTTCAGATGAGAGAACAAGAAGTCCTGACTGGTCCTCAGATAGCGCATGGTGGGGCCCTGAAGTGTCCGAGCATGCACACAGTTGGTAGATCACCTGGTGTTCAAGGAGAATGTATATTTTACCAGAACAACGACACACACATAACAGTAGTACAAACATTATGTGTATGCTGGTGTGTTCTATTTAGTACCTGATAGCAGAGCTCAGCTAAGTGTGGAGCCTGTTGCGTCAGTATTGGTCCAGAACGTCTTTCACTTCCACGTTGGAGCAGGCTTAGAATTGCATGAAGGCAACTCCGGGGACAACCAAGAACTCCTAATGTAAAGCACAAAAATCAACAAAACATTTTCATAACCATAACAAATGATAAATTCAAGTCAAAGCCTTGTTTGATAATGCTTTAAGGATGTACACGTTAGGGATGCAGGATGATATCAGAATCATATCAATACTGGCAGAAATGCAATAAATAAATAAATAAAGAAACAAAATCAGACAGATGTTTAGATTTGACATATTTCAAACTAACATTTAGTAACAAATTTGTCATATTCTAGAAGAGCACAACGTTTAGGCAATGCTGGGCTCCTGTGCTAAAATGTCTGCATTTCATTCATTTTACGGCATGACTTTAGTCCCAACGTCAACATAATGTTACGTATCAACATCAGTATTTGCACTCGAACACAGGAACATGTGAAATATTGAATATTAGCATTAGCTCACAATTCCTATATCGGTGCATCCCTGGTACATGTTCTATTCAGTATGTGCTTACCTGGGTCCTGTAGGTTGGTGGAGGAGACCGGTTTCTTGACCTCATAGCCAAGCAGGTAGAGGGCCAAGTTAGGACCTTTTAGCTCCAGAGAGGTTATCAAAAGGTTAAGAATGTGGATCTGCGTCTCATGCCGAATTCTGGCCACACGCTTATCTGGGTCGGAGTCTGATTTCACACAAACAGATAATATGGTTAGCAGGCATTACTTTTAGGCTCTTGTGCATGTTCAGTCAATAGAATGTGATGTTAGAAGCTCTGGATTTTGATTCAAAAGATCAGAATTAGAGCCTTGCTACTTCGTAAAGAGATACAGACTACCAGATCTACTACACAAATCTCATCTCCTTTAAAATCACTCTCTTGGTGACATACAGATGTCTTTGAATAAACCAGTAAATGTATGCACTTTTATTTTGACTTACCGTCTGCTTTTTCTACACCTTCTTGAGCCTCATCATTATCCAGGCACTCCACAAATCCAGCCATCAACTTGTCACTCACTGCCTGCTCAGATCACAACTCATTTAGAATACATCTCAGACTGCTTCAGTGACATAATCCTCTACTATGGATGAGCAAAGATTGTTTAAAATATTTATTCTAGTGATTCATAATTGCAAAAGAGTGACTTAAAACAAGACCCTCTGTACTATATGAAATCATTTTTTTCTTATTACTGAACCCCATAAAATTGCATTCCACTCCACTCAGCTGCAACTTAATACTGCTTCATAATAAAGATGATGGTTAGAACAGACCATGTAGACCATACAAAAAGCATCTCTATTGAAGAGAAAAGGTAACCAAATACAGAGCAGAGAGTCTCTTGGTTACCTGGTCATGGGTGAAGTCTCCAACCAATCTGGTCTGGATGTTGGGATAACGTGCAATGTGCCGCAGGATCTTAGCGCTTAGGTACGCAGCCTCAGGGTTGGAACTGCTGTGGTACAGGTACCTATATTGAACAAAAAGGACAGAAGCATTAGAGAATTATCATCTACCACTAGGTAAAACAGAGTATTTATGCATGTGCAAATGTGAACAAGTGAAAGACAAACAGGCACCTGGCGATGTTAATGATGTGGTCAGCACGTCTGCTCTGGGCACTGACACCCTGCAGTAGCTGTTCTAGTGGAGAGACCAGCAATGAGGCCTGACTCTCTCTCAAGAGGTCCATGAACACCACCTCTTTCTGCACGGCCAGATCCAGCAGACTCAGACAGTGCAGCACTGCTGACTCCAACTGCTTCTTACCTATACCATCATGATCATAGTCATTATTTTTATCATTATGACAATCACTAACTACAGGCATTCAGACATCAATTTTTCAAACATCTATATATTCAATCGTTAAAATGCAAACAAAATCATTCAGAGTGGTGTGATGTGAAATGATGCATTGTACAGTAATTTATCATCTCATATTTCTTTACTGTGGTGGTGATGGGAACCAGGGGTCACAAGTATAGCCATTTTATTTACTACCCAAAACCACCAGTGAACTTATGTTTGAGTTTTCAAATGTAACGCTGATAAATGTTGGGAAAACAGTAGTCAATTTGAAAAAAAGGAAAAAAAATAAATAAATAAATAATAAAAAAAAATAAACACTTTTGCCTTGCAAAACACAAGACATGTACCTCTCCACCGTAATGATTAAAACATATACATATGATAGACGTAAAAACGTTATTTCAGAACTACCATAAAACAATGCCTCAGGCATCAGGTACTATATTTGTAACCACTTCATGTAACAACTTTCTGTGAAGAAGCTTTTAGAGTAGGGCTGGGCAATTAATCGACATTCAGAATCTCTAACCGACTGTTCACAATATCTTTTAAATGTGACCTCTGTGCGACATCAGTCTGAACAGATCAGGCTTATAAACTGACCTGCATGCACAAAAGAACAACGCGTCACGTTGCTTCATGTGGCTCATCCAGAGCGATCATGAAGCTTCACTGACTGACAGTTGGGCTCATCATCCAGAATGTGTTTGAGCTTGCCGTAAAAAGCGCGCAGTCACTTCTTTGGTTCGCATCCTCAGCTTCTTCAAACTTTGCTTTCAGACTTTTGACTGTTCCTTGACGCTGCAGCCTCGCTCTCCTACGGCCGTGTTCGGCCATTTCTTTCCAAATCTTTTCAAACACGGAGGTGTTTTGGATAAGTCTTTTCTAATTTTTTTACAGAAATATCATACCAAATGTTTATTAGGTCTCAGCAGCGCGAGATTATGACGAATGTCGAGTTGGATTGACATAAAAGCCGCGTGAATTCTGATCTGGCTGTTAATTTACATTAAGATATGCAGAGCATATTTACACTACATACCTTGTCAGTGAACTATGAGGGCAAAAAAAACCAAAAAAATAATCGGTCATTAATCGTAATTGAGGTAAAATATTGACTGTGATATTGCCCAGCACTATTTTAGAGGAAGTAAACATTTTAGATTAGCCAGTTAATTATGCATAAGTTTTGAAAAATTCCCCTTTAAGTTCATCAAGTCAAAATAGCAACAGAGTTATTTCCAGTTATAACATACTGACCAGGGAAAGGAGCATAAGTATCAAGTTGGCAGACGCCTTCCTCCAGCAGGCTGAGGCACAAGGACAAGGTGGGGGAGTCATTAAGCAGGTGGAACATCAGGCTGTGGCCTGGGGGCTTATGAGCTGGAACCTGCTCACCCTGCAGCTCCACTGTCTCCTGCAGAAAATCTGCAGGCTGAGGCTCATAGTCCCGTAACAGTTTGTGGAACACTTCCAACACCGCTTCTGCCACCTCCCACTAAAGAGAGAGCATAACAATGGTTTAGCATTCAAAGAAATTAATGGGAATGCATGAGAAAACATGGGACAGCGGAGTAAGTGCTTAGTGCACAGTACCTTCTCAGCTGGGCGACGGTAGGCTCGTGTTGGAAAGGGAAGAAAGACAGCATCCCGCAGGAAGGCCAAATAGGGCTGGAATCCCGGTGCACGCAGTCCTGCTCCTAGATTAACAGGAAGGGAACTCTCCACCAGAGTGCTGATCAGCTGACAGAACGCCCGGGTCAAAGGGTATTCCTCACAGCTGGACTCAATCTCATTTAACTCCACCTACAGGGGACGGCACACAATATCATTCACAACTTCACATGCTGTACCAAGGATGGGTTTATGCACCCACATGCTACACATTCATGACCATAAACTGACCACCAAAAGTTAGGTACACTTGGCTTTCACTTGAAATTTAATAATTAAAGTTTTGTAGCAGAACTGGTCATGCCTAAATAATGATTTGACATTTTCCTTTTCTAGAAAAAAAATAAACAGTGACATCAGCATAGTCATGTGAAGAAGTAAGTACACCACATGAAATGTTTCTCCTTTTTGACACGTGGACATACCAGTATTTGATCTCCAGTTAAACAGTATGAACAGATAAAGAAAAATAAATAAATAAACAAACACAAACAAAAACAAAGAAAATTTGACTTGGGCAATAATTTTAAAAACCATTAACTGAGATGTCATGTTTGTCTTGAAAAAGTAAGTATACCCCTGGCTTCAGTAAGTGGTACTGCCCCCTTTGACAGAAACAGCTTCATGTAGGCATTTCCTATAAGCATTCTCCCGTTTCTGACATCTACCGGGAGAACTATTTGCCCATTCCTCCGTGCAGAATTTTTTCAACTGTGCAATGTTTGAGGGATTTCTTTAATGTACAGCCCGTTTCAACCAATTTGCTTTATTGCTTGCATAAAACACTGGGAGTGAGAATAAACTGAACAGAGTAAGGATAAAGTAGTTTTTGAGCTGTGTACATGTATGTGCTTTGTAATTGGCTCTAGAGCAGAGTGATTAAGTGATCCACACACAGGAGACCATGGTTCAAGCATTGCTCAGGTGAGCATACCACAGCTGTAATAGTAGACATGTTTGCTAAATCTACATCCCTGCCACGCTCATGCTGCATGCGTGTAATTCAATTTGATCCATTCTGTCATTCTAGCCCCAACGGCCTGTGTAAAAAGCTTGACCAAATGCCAGATACAGCTCACCTCTATGCCTGCTGCTTGTCTCTGTCCAGGGGCTTTTACTGTCTGCAGGACCTTGGAGAACAAAAATGTATAATTAGTCACACACATCAGGTCAGAGCATTATGCTTGAGAATAAATACTGACACACAACTGGTGTATTAATCAGTAGATGTTTTTCACTTTAATACCAAAGTATACTGAAACATACTACCACAGTTCATCTCTGTTATTTTATGAATATGTCTACCTATTGACTCATTCTTGCAGTCTGCAGCTGCCGCCTACCTGTGTGTACTCCAGAGACTGCCAGAGAGAAGCAGCAATTTCAGGGGACTTGCCGAAGGCAGCGAGGGCATGCAGGAGCTGGGCTTTCAGTATTGGCTGTACGCTGCACTGTAGCAAACCCAGCATCACTACCACAGGAGTCCACTGAGGGTGCTCACAAAGAGCCAGTCGAGCATTCTCACTCTGATAACACAAACATCATGCAAATATATACCACAATGAGGACAGACCTGTTTGATCAGACAATTCACAAACACAATTATTAGGTTTGTCACAATGATTAAATAATCGTCTAATTACAATTCTTGAGATAATCAGTTATTTAAGCTGACTGCAATCATTGTGCACAGTCATTAGAGTTCACAATAAAATTAAGCCTGAACAAACAAAATGTGAATTAGGTGTGTTGGGTTGAGGCAAACAAATGTAAATATAAGAAAGCAGTAAATGTATTCTTAGAGACACATCACAGAACTCAAACCAAAAAAAGTCTAAAGTGGTGCTCTAACATGTTTAGAGGGCTATACAAGCAGTATTTATTTGACAGCTATGTAGTGAATTCTTATGTTTTTAGCATGTATGTTTTTTATAAGATCAGTGTGAGCTAAATTAAAGACAGCTAGGAAACAAGGTGACAAGCCAATTTGGGCACTTTAATAGATATTATTTATGTCAGTTAAAATTTCATGATCCTAACAATCGTGGCTCTTGCATGTAGATCAGGAGTTACATATGATGCTAACTAACTAACTAGCCTGATGTCATTGCAGAGTGATATAACATTTGGCCTAAGGATGTGCATGCATTTTACCCAAGTGACGATGGTAGTGAGCAGCTGAAGGAAAGCAGTCAGGCCGTCTAATTCTCTCTGTGTGATGCCTCTGATGGGCGGGTGTCGGTACTGAGTGGAGTCCGCACTGGGGACGTCACGCCTCAGGTTTTCATGGTACAGCATGAGAGAATGGAACAGGTGCTCCCATGACACTGGGCTTCCCGATACACCGCCCTGCAAGTTCTCTCCTGTAAACATACATACAGGCCTGTTACAGAGCTGGACAACGCTACATACTTTACACTGACACAAAAGCAGAAATGAAATGACCAGGGTCCTTGATCCTAATCAGTAGTTCAGCCATTTCAGTGGCCATAGCCAAAGCAACCCATTAGCCTTGGGCTAATTATTCATAATTTCGAATATCAAAAGAATTTAAATAAAGTGCCAGTACTGTGTAAATTATTGTTCTTTCAATCTCTTTCACATGATTTTCTTCTACCACTACGCCTTTACTTAACTATTCTATTTGTACAATCATTTTAAGCTATGGTTAGTTCAAAAAAGTTGAAAATGAAAAAGTTGCACTTAATTGGCTACACAAACAGAACAACTACACAACTCCACATGTACACAAACACACAAACTACACATATACACACACTAGATAAACATAGACTTTCAATCTCCGGTAGAGAGTAAAATAGACAAGCTTTCCAGAAAAAGTGTTCCAACTTGCCAGCTTGGTTTCTAATGAGATATATTTGGTTTCTAACCAAATGTACATGGAGAATTACGGTCTGTGCTGACTGTGTAGAATACAGTAATGATTAAAAACTATTAAGTAATCAAAAAGTACCCTAATTAGTAATTATATCAATTATTGCATTAACTACTAATTAAATGCAAGCTATAGGGTAAGAGAGTCACACTGTATTCTAACTGAATCACAATGATACTGTTTATCGCAATAACTCTGCAGTCAATAATTGTCTAAGTTTATTATCCAAGTTTGCCACAATCATTTCAGAGAACAGCACAACGAAGTGCATGGCTATACTCCAACGGTTCCCAAGCAGTTTCTTCTGTTTCACTTTCTGGCATTGGCATGTTAAGCAGCAATGGTATTATTTACCATGTGGTGCTCCATTGGTCTTGAGCAGGCTGAAGCAATAGTGAGAGGACTGAGGCCCATTGGCAAGCCCCTTCAGCATACGCAAATAGGGGATGTACAAAGTGGCAGGCAGCAGGTCCCCCATCTGACGCACAAACTTTGAGAGAACCACCTAAAGAATACATATAAACAAAAATACATATTTGGTATGATGTATCATAAGTAAAAACACCAACCTAAGTTAAGTTAGAACACATTCTAAAAACAAGGAATATCTGGAATAAAATGTGCCACCCACACAAACAATTTATTTGTTGGGGGTTCCTTACACTATGTTGTAACACTATGTACTGTCCTGACTTGGTCCGGAAGTAGAATATATGGTTTCTCTAAACCTGACACGCACAGACACACCTGTTTGTGAGGAGGTCTTTGCAGGGCAACTCCAAGAAAGGATCCAGTAAGGGAGGTGTGCTGGAGGGACTCTGTTGGGCACCAAAATTCCAGGGCTAGCTCTAGCCCAAATGGGTCCTTACTGTAGAACTCACCAATCTGGCATAAACAAACACATGCATGATATAATAATAGACATTATTATATGACATAATTTAGACTAAACAATGTGGCATCATATAAAACAATATAGACAGGATAGGGACACACCAGTATCATGAGGTGTTCCAGGTCTTTCCGGAGAGAGGATGGAGGCTCACTGCCCATCTGTAGCGCCATGTGGATCAGTCGAGCGTCTTCATCAGCACGATTACGTAACTGCTTTACCTGAATATACGCATTTTACTTAGCACAAAAGATCACTACACATGCCTTACTTTTACAGAATCACATGAATGTGCTATGAAACAGCTGTCTGAATATGTTTGCTTTCAAATCGATCAGCCACACAGAGTTCAAGATAAATTTCCCATCAGGGAATAAAGTTCATCCAAGTCAATTTAAAATTAAATATAAGAAGCAGTTACAATTCTTACACTCGTGACTCCTACCTTCATAGGCATGAGAGCCAGGAAATCAGTGATGAGGGCATGAAGCCGCCGAGTATAGAACTCCTCCTGGTGGAATCCCTCACTTCCCAGAATACCCTCTGTGAGGAAGAGGAAGACCCCTCCCAGCAGAGCCTGGTCAGCCAGAACTTCATCTGCCTCTGTGTACTCTACCAGAGCTAAGGAGGAAAAATTCAAAATGATCAGACAGACTCACTAAATATCTTCACATCTTCACTTTAAGCCCCTACAACAAAATTATAAAAAAAACATCATTGCAACACACTGTAAAGTAAACACACTTCTGGCCTTTAAATCTGTTCAATCAGTTAAGTAAGGTACTTAAGCAGCAGCAATATCATATAGTATCTGCAGCATTTAAGCAATATCTAAAATAAAAATGTGTGCATGCAGGTCATGCATACTTTTCAGTGCAGAGCTGTGTTCGCTCTAATGACAGGTATGAAAAAAAGGCATCTGAGCCTAAGGCTAATACCTGCACCCTGGGGGAGCTGAGAGAGGGCCCTGAGCGAGAGTGCCCAGGTCAGTCGCACCACCGCTTGCAGGCCGGGCAGCTTCCATGCCTTACCCTCCACCAGACGACTGTGCACTGCTGACACATACTGCTTCTCTGTCAGCAAGGGTTGAGCCTGGAGCAGGTCTGTAACACAGAGTTAGGAGGTAAAAAGGCATGTCAGGTACTGTTGTCAGGGATGCACAATAGCCCAAATCATACAAATTTCAGTAATTATCAGTAAATACTCGTTTAAAATAAAATTATCAGCATTGTTTTAAATTGACTGATATTTAAAACCAATATTAAATCAGATATTTACTGTAGTCTGGAACAGCAGAATATTTAGGCAATGCAGGGTTACTGTGCTAAAACATTTGCATTTTATTCATTTTACTGCATTTGTAGCCCAACAAAAATGTTACATTTATCTGTGATTCTAATCTCAGTATATTTCGTGCCAATATATAAAATGTTTATGTACTGGTATCATGAGATATATCCATAAAAAAATTACTGGATATCTGCACTGGCCCACCCCATACTGGTGGTGCATCCCTTGTTTTTACTAACTGCTAGCAGTGCTCAAATATTATCACTAGCTGAAATGATTCATGCATTTCCATTCTGACAAAACTAAATGTAAAGCAGATCTCTCTTATTTGAACAGTCTCTGTGCCAAAGCATATTTAGATGACAGATATAAACATACCGTCTCTGTCTTCAGTCCCTTGCTCCAGAAAACTAACATCCAGGCAATAGAGCAAAGCCATGACCAGTGCAAGATTCACACTATCTAATGAGCCATCAGCTTCTGCTGTCACTGTCTCCAGATGACCAATCAAGGCGAGCGTATCATCTTTGCTAAGGGGCGACTGACACGTCCATGCAAACAGACACTCAGCCAGCGACTGTCGGCACTCCTTGATGAGGTCTGACACCTGCAAAAAAATAATGTGAACGCTTAAAAATTTGGTTGGATTTTTGAAGAACACTAGAGAACATCCTCTTCCTCTTCAAGCTGTTATTTGAGTTACAACAATCTAATTTCTATAAACAAATTTGATCTTTTACATTCATTAAATTCATTCTCGCTTCCAGCAGTAATTTCTGTACTTTTTTTGTGTCATCGTTTGCTTAAAACACAACCAAAATGCTGCAAATTTTCAAAATTTGACAAACTTAAGTGTACCAAAAGGTTGAAAAGACAAATGATTTTCCTTTCACCTCTTTCCTGTGTTTCTCATTTCCAAGGCCTCGCTCCTTCTGCAGCCTTTCAAACTCACGTGTGACACTAATGTCTGAAACCAGGTTTAGGATTTGCTTAGTCAAACCCTGAGCCATCAGCTCATCTGTAAAGCGTGTGGTAAGATTGACCAAATCCGCACTAAGAGAGGGAAAAGCACAATACAAAAATATAATTACAAATATATAATATTATAAATATACAAAAAGTAATAAAAAACACGTCAGAAAGGAACAATCTCAATTTAAAAACTCTGTCATACCTAAGGTCAAGAGTGAAAGTCTTGCCATGACGGGACTGGATGAGGGAGCGTAGAGAGTTGGCCACACAGCGCTTGCCGTCCCAGTAGAGTAGAACAGCCACCAGGCCCCTTGTTAGCCCAGGAAAATGAGGTTGCTGGTGCTCTCCTTCAAAAAAATGGGATTTTATGTCCACCACATAAGCTATGTCAATCATGGACTACAGATAAAGATACATCCTGCTCTACAGAGGCAAGTGATATGGAAAAAGTATAACAGCATATTTCAAGATGTTTTCACAATACATGATATGATTCCCTTTTCCGACATCTGACAACATGGATCACGCAAAGTAGTGCCACACAAAAATATCCTCAAAAACAACAAATCCAGGAATTTATATTCAACACTAAATCTACTAAATATACTTAAACATAACTATTTAGGCTCTCTTTGTAATCAAACACGCAGTTAGGAAGTACTGGCAATACCAAAGATGTGCTGAGAAAAGTGTAATGTGACGTACAGCTCTATACATTCCACAATGTTTTTAAAAGATTTTTGAGGAAAATTCAAATGTACACAATTTTATTTACACTTATGCAAGATGTAATCAATCAGTCAAAACACGTTTAGTGCCCAAAGTGTGCTTATTTAGTTTTGCACTGGAGCTACAAGGCTAGTGTAGCTAACAAGTAATGGGAGCCTCTATCCCACCAATTAGCATATGGTTTCTCACTATGTAGGACATACTTTTATCTCAAAGTATGGACATAATTTACAGCTTCAGGATGAGTGTTACTACTGTCCTTATACAAACTGCTTTAGCTCATTCAGGGCAGGGGAAAAATGTGTATATTTATTTTTTCACTTTACAATTGTCTAAAATACAAATTAACAAATGGTACTAGTGTGTTTGACTGCATGTAAAGGAGCCACTACTGTTCTAGAGCAAACAAGTGTGTGTTGGATTACCTGCCAGCAGCAGCTCCAGTGCAGCAAGCTCTCCAATGTCAAAAAGATCACTGAGGATAAAGGCCTCTGCGAGGAGCTGCTCAGGGAGAAGCCTTGATCCCTGCTGGCCCTGAATAGAAATCCCCTCTGTGCTGGCTTTCCTCACCTTCTCTCTCTGCTCCGCACTCTTTGGCTATTTCCAACAGACAAATATTCACATTTTCACTAAGCCAGGATGAAACTGTTATAATTTCATTACATTCGAATTTATTTAACAACCACTTTAGCAACAAGTGAACTGTTTTAAATAGACACATTTTACTCAGTGAAAGGATAAAATTAACTTCACATTGAATTCACAGAACACTGGGACTGGACAGGTCAGGAATCTTCTATATCGTACTCACAGGGTTCTTGAATAAGGAGAGAAAGTAGGGCTTGTGTTTCTTCAACTGTAGATCCAGAAGATGAACACTCTCTGGTTGTTTCCTCCATATCGCCCCCTCTACGTTTTCCCATAACTCTTTCAGAGGACCCCACAGACTGGCTCCTTCAAAGAACAACAGTGACACTTGTAGCAAGATGCAATTCATAGCAAGAGTGAGAGCTGCATCATTTATTGCTTTCTCTGAAATATTCCAGATCTACATCAAGAGACGGGATCTCCTGTTTCCTTATTACATGACGGACATATAATACATGTAATACAATACAGTTCATGTAATAAGGCACATAAATGTCATGTCATGCTATACCTGCACAACAGCTTGGTAGACCCATATGAACAAGCATTTCAATGTACATGGTATAAAAGACAAATGAAAACAGAATCCCCAACCTATATAAAGTCATATTTACATTAACTCCTTTGTCATATGCTTTTATCCAAAACAACTTACAAAATGTGCAAACACTGGAGTAAAAATTCATATAAAGCACTCAGCGAGACTTTGGGAACTCTTGAAAAGATATATTTCTAAGTAAAGAGCAATATGAAGAAAGTCTCTGAGCTAAGTCTTTGTGTTTTGATGTAAGGTTACCGAAAAACAAGTATGCTGTTATTTTAAATTATATATGACAAACCAGGTTTAATATAACATGAGAATGAACTAGGGAAAAATGGTCTGTTCTGATTACAGGTTGACTTTCCAAAATGAAAAGTGAATCTTCTGACCAAATCAGAAAGAACAGAGAGAATGTGGACACTGAAGTAGTCAGACCTTTCCTTACAAACATAATAAATGCAACTTCATTTTTCAGTGAATAAAAACACGCAATGCCCATGTGTATGCACTTTTTAAAGCCAATCTTGGGTTAGACATTTCAACCAAAATTATTTCAAATAAAAATGTATGTCTTGTTCTAAATTAGTTATCTAATTCAGGGCAGACAACCACGTTACAGCAACTAGACCATAAAGAGAGATTTGTATAAAAAGTATACAAAAACATTGACAACAAATTTGCCAAGGTTATAAGCAGCGCGCTTCACACTGTTGTAGATATTTTATAAAGACTTATTTTTATGTCTCACATAGTGTTAGCAAAACAAAATAGCTGGCTGGATAGCCCAGCTAACCTATACAAGTCTGAAAAATTTCTTTCATGTGATAAAGATAAATTTTATTGTCGGTTTGGTTTGGTTTATTTTTGAGGAAAAATCAAATGTACACAATTTTATTAGCACTTATGCAAGATGTACTTAATCAGCCAAAACACGTTTAGTGCCCAAAGTGTGCTTATTTAGTTTTGCACTGGAGCTACAAGGCTAGTGTAGCTAACAAGTAATGGGAGCCTCTATCCCACCAATTAGCATATGGTTTCTCACTATGTAGGACATACTGTTATCTCAAAGTATGGACATAATTTACAGCTTCAGGATGAGTGTTACTACTGTCCTTATACAAACTGCTTTAGCTCATTCAGGGCAGGGGAAAAATGTGTATATTTATTTTTTCACTTTACAATTGTCTAAAATACAAATTAACAAAATGGTACTAGATACTAGATATTTTATAAAGACTTATTTTTATGTCTCACATAGTGTTAGCAAAAGAAAATACATGGCTGGATAGCCCAGCTAACCTATACGAGTCTGAAAACTTTCTTTCATGTGAGGAGACTCGTCCAAAACCGCACACACTATTACACTGTACGTATTATACTACAAAATATGAATACACTGCCATACTAAACAGTATTTCAAAACAGTACAACATCATGACGATCATTATTATAGCATGTACAATATAGTTTTATGTGGTTTTGGACATAGCTTCTGAACTTCGCTCACTGGCTGAACGTCCTAATGAAAACGAAAGCAGGCTTATTGGGCCAGAGAGTTCGTGAGCATGTTTACAAAACACCAATTCATTGTCACATAGATATCATTATTGTTGTTTGCTATTATAGTATTTCTTGTAAGTTACTGTCATTTAAAGCTGAGAGGACATCTAATATTACTGTAAGTTACAGGTCCGGGTAGCGTTACGGAGCTATACAGTGCTGAACTTCAGAAAGAGGCTGTCGGCTTCTGATTCACCAGCTTCTTGATCGAATTTTCCCGTTCCACCTTAAATGGTGCAGAAACTGCATTCTGGCGCCTAGTATTAGAAGACCCCAGAACGTAACTGCTGTACCATTTAAGGTGGAACGGGAAAATTCGAACAACAAGCTGGTGAATCAGAAGCCGATTTCAGATTCGTAACTTCAGAAGCCTGCCAAATCGTGTCGGTCTTGATTCACTCAAATACCTCGCCAAAGTAATTAAATACCTCCCCGAGACTGTTAAAACAAACGTAGTATAACACGCAAAGTCCAAAAAAAGAATAAAACGACCACATGAGTTCAGTACCTGAATTTACCGCCATCTGCGCAGCCATGTCTGATCTGCAACCAAGCCAGCCGGAGTTGTCCGGATTAATGCCAGAGCGAAAATTATATACGTTTTGGGTTTCGTGCGTGATAAGCCGCTGCTGTTCGCGTTTTTATAACTATATCATTTTTTTCGTTTATGAATATCTATATTCAGTTCAATTCATATATTCACAATTCATTGGTGTTTTGATATCGGTTTCCTCTCAGGCAATAAACAAGTAGACTCGACTGTCAAAATGGCCGCAATGTGTTTCGAGTGAATTTTTTAATCACGTTCATTAAAACCGAATCAGAATCTTATTCGTCTTTATTAAAGGGCAGCCTAAAGTGCGTTATTTATGTTATGGCATTCTTTATTGAACGCACTGCACCCCTCATTCCTGATTTTGTATTTGTTTTTCTTCCATCGCTGTTCTCTCACTACAATACCCAGCATGCAACATGTATTACGCAAATACGTCATGCTACCACTGGGAATCGGAAAACCGGCTGTGTCCCTACAGCGCTCAACAAATCCTAACTACCAGCTGCTGACGAATACTCCGATCAGCCGTCCACCTCTGTGTTTCTACACTCATTAAAGCTATGCTTTTAAGGTAGTTTATTCTTTGTAAAGAAAAAAACAGCCAAAACAAATAATCAGAATAAAAATATACACCCATAGTACATACTAAGAGAGATGACGAACCTGATCAAATGTTAGTTTGCTATCATGTATCCTAATGTAATGTGCCTAGTTATCATGGCGAAATTTGTTTGTCTGCATTTAAAGGTGGAGTTATGCAACTGAAAATCACATCTGAATCTGCTCTCTTCATTCGCACCATTGTAAGTCACTCTGGATTACAGCATCTGCTAAATACCTTATGAAGGTATTCATGCCAGCATTTGGAAGAACTACTGGCAGAAGCATCTGTTAGAGCTACTAGCCAATCAAATTCCAGGATTCAATTGGCCAATCAGATTGAAGAATTTGGCTGGTCAATCAGAGCACACCTAGTGGCCGATCAGAGCGCATGGTTTAACTGGCCATTCAGATTTCAGGATTCAACTGTGCAACTGTTTCCCTAAAGATGTTGTAAGGGCAGAACAGTATGCATTGTGTATGTTTATGTATATCACTGTTGCGCAAAAACCTTGTATCTCCATTATTGTCGTTTCATTATTTTTTGCATGAATTAAAAACTTCAGCTGGCCTTTTTGTTTGCATTGTGTTAAAATTGCACGAGGAATTAAGTAATAAAAATGGTCCAAAATTACAACCCCATTTCCAAAAAAGTTGGGATGCTGTGCAGAATGTAAATAAAAATAGAATGCAATGATATACAAATCATGTAAACCATATTTTAAAAGGAAAATACTACAAACACAACATATCAAATGTTGAAACTGAGAAATTTTATTGTTTTTTGAAAAATATATGCCCATTTTGAATTAGATGCCAACACAAAAAAGTTGGTATGGGGGCATGTTTACGACTGTGTTGCATCACCTCTTCTTTTAACAACAATCTGTAAGCGTTTGGCAACCAAGGAGACCAACTGCTGTAATTTTGAAAGTGAGATGTTTTCCCATTCCCAGAGAAGGTGGCAGCATTTCTGGATCTTGTTTATATATGGATTCTTCTTTGCATTTTAGAGTTTTAGCTTGCATTTGTGGATGTAGCGACAAGCTGTGTTCACAGACAGTGGTTTTCAGAAGTGTTTCTGAGTCCATGCAGTGATTTCCACTAAAGAATCATGTCTGTTTTTAATGTAGTGCCGCCTGAGGGCCCAAAGATTCTCTGAATCTTTTAATGATATAATGTACTGTAGATGATAAAAAGCAAAAGTTCTTTGCTGTTTTACGTCAAGAAACGTTATTCTTGAATTGTTGCACTATTTGCCTGTGCAGTGGTGAACCCCTCCTCATCCTTATTCTGAAAGACTCGGCCTCTCTGGGAGGCTCTATTTATACCCAATCATGTTACTGATCTGTTGCCAATCATTCACCAGTGTTTTTTTTTAGCATTACACAACTTTGCCAGTCTTTTGTTGCCCCAGTCCCATCCTTTTTGACATGTTGTTGGCATCAAATTCAAAATGGGCAAATATTTTTCAATAAACAATAAAATTTCTCAGTTTCAACATTTCATATGTTGTTTTTGTACTATTTTCAATGAAATATAGGGTTTAGATGATCCCCACATCATTGAATTTTGTTTTTATTTACATTTTGCACAGTGTCCCAACTTTTTTGGAAATGGGGTTGTACATAAAATAAATAAAAGTCTTGTTTCATTAACTTAACAAACTAAAAATGTTCTTTTCATTCTCCTGTAAAGGTACAGTTTTGGAGATGGTTTTGTTCCAACAGTGATGATATGTATATGTAGTATGTACTATATTTATAGCATGTAATATGCATTTGATTGCATTCAGCAAAAAGCATCAGTGAAGTCAGGTACAGTTGTTGATGATTAGGATCACAAATAGAATTCCAGTTCATTCCAGAGGTATTCAGTGGTCTTTTATCACTGCAGAGAACACAGTTCCTGTGCTCCACAGCTCAATACCGGGGAGGGCTTCATGCTCCTCTAGCCAATGCTTGGTGCTGGGCATAGTGACTTTGGGCTTACATATGGCTGCTCTAGAGCCTCCCATCCTGTTTATCCTGGTATGTCCACTTATGTAAAAAAAAAACAAAAAAAAACCAAAGCATTTTATGGGGTGTACTTACTTCTTCACTTACTGTACATTGTGCAGTGTATACATCTGTAGTATGTAGTATGCATAATTATGTAGTGTGCAGCATGCATAATTATGTAGTAGGTATCTGTAGCATAATTTGCATTTATATGTAGTCATGATACTTCAGGATATACAGTGAGGCTCAGTTCAAATAGTGTTTGTCACAGACACAGATTTTTACATTTAGTTCTAGAATAAAGTGAATTTTCAATGGAACATCAATGGTAATAATTAATTACTACAGAATTAATGTATACTTGGTTAAAATAAATGTCTACATTTATTGTCGTTATGCAAACTGCATTTTTCCCCTCCAACCTAATTATTACAGTACTTTTGGATCTGTCTCTACAATGCAGAAACACATTTAGGTTTGATTTTTCAACAAAATAGTCTGTCCAGAAAAGATCCAACCTGCTTTGACTGGGTTTGTGGCATTTAAATCTCATAAATCACCCCACAGTATAACAGACTCAATGCTGCCACCTAATGGATCTGAAAAGCATTTTCTCTTGAAAGGGGATTTCCACCCATTTTTTGCCATTTCTGTAAACAGTAATTCAGAGTGCTTTGATGATAAATGGTTCATTGCAGAGAAACCTACCAACTCTGATTCTTTAGTGGTGATAGAAACCAGGGGTCACAATGTCTACAAAATATAATAGTAAAATAGTGGTAGATCTGAAAAAAGGAGTTTTCTTTAGGTACTATTTGCCGTCTATTGACCTGCATGTATCTCTCTGCCATGAATAGATTTAAAACCATAATTTAGGCCAAAACCTTAATGCGAAATTGTCGTAAAACAATGTCCAGGCAATGTCCAGGCATCAGTAACAATGTATTCGTAACAATTTCATAGCTTTCTGCGATGTAGCCTTTAAGGGCATTAAATGCTATGGGTTTCTTTGTCGCCCGCGCAGCCATCTTGTTGGTTTTTGTTTTTTTCTCATAACACTCTGTTTGGAGTATGCCACCGAAAAACCTCCGTTTGGAGGGCCATGTAGCCCTAACACTTCGCTCTACCCCTCTATCTCAACAAAAATTGGGACACCCTAACCCTAGACGTGAACGTGCAAAACAGAGGGCTAAGGGCTAAGTGGTAGGGGCAAGGGGTGAAATGGGATTGGGCCTAAGTTTCTCTTGAATGGCACATTTCACACTGAACCACTTCAAATGACTTTTCTTACATCTTAATGATTTAGTTAGGCAGAAATTTTAACAAATCTGTAGAATTCCCCCTTAATAGAACAGTTGACCAAAAAATAAAATGTACAAATGCATTCAATCAGCCAAGACATGTTGTGACAAGACATATAATGGAAGTCTGTCATGGTTTTTCTGCTTACTGCAAATGTAGTCAGTCATTCTTATATCCATTCCTATCACTCTGCCTATTTGGGTCCTTGTGAGTGGTGAGAAAAAAGAAACAAATCAAAAAATGATCAACATGACAAAATAATATTTATTAAAAGAGGGATTTTTGATTCAAAGGGAGCACGAGTGATTGGTTATTGGCTCAAATCTACATAAAAACTGAGAGTCTTCAATACTGAACTAACAAACAAATTTTTTTCTAGGTCTTCTCGATTGCACTCAACAACTACTATTCAGGAGTGGAAAAGATAGAATGCCTTAACACAGCTTTCTATACCATTTTAACTAAACTGGATTTATAACAATTTTATTTATAAAAAAGGAAAAAAGTCAACAAAAATATTCAAACACACCAAACTAGATCTAGTATTGCTTAAAAAGAGATGTAGCTTAGAGGGAGTGCACAAATATGGAGAGTAAAACAACAAAAAAGCAAGCTCTGTACATCACACAGCCAAACTTGCACTGTTGAGAATTCATATTCATGATTTTTTCTTTTTTTCTTTTTGATCATCAACCAAAAAAAGAGTACAAAGTCCTCATGACACCTCCTCTCCGTTCCAAGGCAAAACTGAAAAACAAATGCTCATTATTTTGGCATACAAGAGTCCATCCAGTGTCCCGTTCTAAACTTGTGAGGATGAAAATAAGTTAAAAAATTCTTTGAGTGGTTTGTCCAAACCCCCCCCCCCAAAAAAAATGTAGCGATAGAGAAAGAAACAGAAAGAAAGAGACAGACTCTGTGTATGTTCTGTTCATCCTGCCATGCAAGTTCACCAAAGCCAGCCAACCAGCGACGGAGAGACTGTGCCTTTGTGTCTGAGAGTGCGCGCTTTTCTTTCAGCCCCTTCGTTTGCTGCCGGTGTTCAGGGAAAAGGGTTAAGTGAATACTGGTCGTGTCTGCAAGTCGGCAATAGGAA